TGGGAGGAGGTTAGTGATTTCCGCGCGATTAGATATACGGGCCTAAAGGCTAGTGCGACGTATGCTGAGTGGAGAGAGTGGAGGAGGTGGGTCGAGGACAATCACGGAAGGGTTCTGCGATGACAGGACGGCATAATTAGAAAAAAGGAAAATGATAGACTAATTGACAAGCTGCAAAGTGTTCGGGCGGTTGGCTTGCTGTCTGAAACGTTCGAGCTTGGGCCAAACACCCTCTCCTGAGCGATTCCCGTCCCATCCCCATCACTGTTCTTCTCCAACGCAATCTAGCTTGAGATGTGCGGGCCTCTCTGGCTACGGATTTTGCTGGGAACTCTCCCGCCCGCTCATGCTGCCAGCTTCTGGTAGATCAAACATGTGCTGCAGAACTTAGCTTGATATCTTAGGCCACCCTGGCTATCAAATTCGTCAAACCTTCTCAGCTTCAATTCAGAGTGCCAGTCCTTCTTGAATCAAATAACCTTTGGGGTCCATGATCTTTTTGGATCGCTGGCTCGTTCTATAGGCCCATGTTCTGCAGTCTTCGGCCCCCCTTTCGTGCTTGGTAAAGCTCCAAGTTCAGGCGGCGAGGGCTGGTCGTTTGTGCTTATCGATCCTGAAGCTCGACCGCTCCGGAGGTCATGGGGCTTTAAATTCAGGTGATTGCGCTCCAAGCATGAGCATCGAACCCCGTGACGTAGTGGTGCGCAGTGCCATGAAACGGATTCTTGACTCGCTTGCCACTTTTCTGCTCCTGGAGGGCAATCGTACCCAGCTTCTTCATGCACGCCCTACCGAACTCTGGCTGGTCGGATATCAAGCACTGGAAGGCATCTTCGGCCCAGTGGGTTCTTCTCCCCCAGACGAAGTAGTCCGTCGCTATCTCCTTGAGGATCTCTATACCTGCCGATTTTTTTTGGTAGATAAGATCGACAATGTGGTGCGGGAAGTACCTGCACATGGCTGGGATGCCGGCTAGCCGGTTGAAGAACTTTCTGATCATCTCCCTCTGCAGCTCCAGAGCTCCGAGCCGATCACCAAGGTCAAAGAGGTGAATCAGTTCTTCCATAGTGTTTTCAACGGTACCGTGTTTGTTGAGATCGAAGCGTGGAGTCTGATGCTCGTTGTACATCCATGAAACGAAGTCATCGAACAGGGAGGCATCTTCTTCCGGCATCTTGATCACGTTATGCTTCGCCTTGGGGAACGATGAGTCAGGCTTGAGGGCGGCCGCGAAGAAGCTCGATTTGTGACAGAGAAGTGATTCGGGCAACATGAATTTCTCTCTCTCCTTTCCGACTTCCACCAAAACCAATTCAGGTTTGGCATGCCTGTCGGTCGACACGAGTTAGCGATCGAGTTGGAACGGCATCTCGAACCCCGAGGCCCAGTTCAGATTGATTGTACGGAAAGAGCACATACCGCAAGATCTTCTGTCTCTTTGAGGGTGGTTCAGAATGATCCATGTTGTTGGGTGAGATGTTCTGAGCAGCTGAGTAGAATGTGAGCTAGACGAGCAACAGCAAGTGAAAGAAAGAGTGAGATGGTTGAGTGAGGAGAATAAATGTTCAAGGAATAAAACTACAAAAAGAGACCAATTTTAGAACGGATGAGACATGGCAGATTTCCAATGATTGTGGGAGGGGAAAAGGTGCCTGCAAAGCTGTGGTAATGTAGAAGAGCACAAAATCTGATACCACAAAGCTCCAGTTGGTTATTGAATGTGCCTTTTGTGAGATCTACTGGAAGCGAAGCAATCGTGCTGGGGCGAGAGAGCTTAATCTGATAGCCATTATTGCACTTGTAGAAGTATCGCTGAGCAATCGAGAGCATCGGTTTCGTATCGCAAATACCAATGCTCTCTCGTTTTGAACACTTCTTTCGTGCCCTGAATTTTTGAAGTCGTCCAGCTATTCACTCATTCCTCATGTCTTGCCCAGGAAATGATCAACGCCCTTCTCCAGAGGGTTCGTAGCTTTCTTTTTTCCGTATCTTCTGCTCATCTCTATCAATACTTCCTTTGCAAATTCTGGTGCTTTGACCAGCAGTTCTCCCACGTCCTCATTCGCCTCGAATGACTCGATGTTAATGTACCAGACATAAAAAGCGACCGTGATCTCTCGTAACGGCTCTGCGGTGATGGGACGGCTATAGAGGTACCCCACGGAGTCCAAAGGGTAGCAGAGTGACCCACTCTTCAATACCAGGAGGTACAGTTCTCTAACCATTACTTGCTTTAGTTCCTGGCAACCAATCTTATCAGCGAAGACATAGAGATCGATGATGTTCTTAATCCTTGCGCCGCAGATGGAAAGGTCGTTAGTTGGTATGAGTTCATCCCTGCAACCACGGTAGAGCCATCGAACAAAGTGCTCGAACGTTTCGACACACTCTTCTGGCAATTTGATCGCATTGGCAGTGGCCTCCTTGAAGTTGCCCGTAATTGCGGCTTTGAAGAAGGCCGAGGCTTCTGTGAGGAAGGACGAATGGATGATAAATATCTCCTCCTCAGGGCCGACATATATGGTAGTCACTGTCCCCATATCATTGAACCTATCATTACGGAGTCAGCAACAGAATGAAGAAAAGGTGAAAAACAAGGGGGGATTGGCTCATATTGGCGGCTCCACCCTGGCATAAAAACATATCGCTATGCCAGCAAACTCACCTGAGACGCTTCCTGGCGGTTTCCGTAGCCATTTTTAGGTAAGATAGAGGTGAGGCGAAGACGATGAACAGGTGCTATTCTTGATGAGAGGCTCTTCCAGAATCACACTATTATGGAAAAGATTGACAAGTCTCGCTGTAGGTCTGATCTGACACGAATTTCCCCTGCCAGTGCGCTCAAACGTTGAAGAATACTTGTGATGGTCAAGAGGGCCACTTGCTTACACAAGGTTAATACATGTTGCATAAGAGATCAGCGGTGTTGTGTAGACAGAACACTTGACTATTGTGGCATAACGAATCGAAGGGACATCTTACTGCACAATGAGCCTCACTGAACTGGGCCTTGGCCAGTCTCTGATTATTTCGGTTTAGTTTGCTCCAAATCCTATTGATGTTGCAGAGCAAGGTTAAGATCTCTCCATCCCACCGCACGCAGCATCAGCATTTCTGTCTCTTTTGTCGTAGAAATCTTCAGCCCTTAAAGTCCGGAAGTCTTTCTTAGTCCGTCCACTTCCAGCAAGTTTCTGAACCAACTCAGCCGCAAACTGGGGCACCCTCTTCAAACCGTTCAAGGCAGCAGGAGTCTGGAACCAATCAGGTGTAACGCACTCGTACAGAGTCAGTGCAAGCTTTCGGAGAGGGCAGCTCTCTGGCGTATGGGTGTAGATCTCCAGCACAGATTCGAGACCCATAGGCTTGAGTTCAAGGGTCTTGTATGCGCCTATTACGGCGTTCATGATGTGGTTCTGGAATCCCTCGACCTGAATTTTATCTGCGAAGATATGATCATGGATGATGACACTCCAATAATCTTTATTACTTTTGCCCTTCACCAAGTCCATGACATCGTACTCTTTCCAGTAAACCCAACCCAGGAATCGGTCGAATGTGGATGATTCGTCCTGAGGCAGATGCACGACACTGTCTGCTGACTCCTTGAACGAGCCTTCCAGTGCTGCCCGAAAGAACGGAGAAGCCTGGCACAGGAAACTTTTATGCACATGAGAATTCTGCGGCGGCGATCCGACTTTGATGATCGCTATTGGTTCATTGACAAGCCTGATCTGGTCAGACTCTTGTAGGGCGAAGGAGAAATAAAAAGCCACGACCACTGCAAGATCTTGTAGAGCAGAGACAAACTTACTTGCGTCGCTTTGCTTCACGCTTCATTAAGCTGCTATTAAACTCGAATCTCGGGGTAAGGCTGATGTGACTGAAAGGCCGCAACTGTGGTTGTCTTGTGTAGTGGTGTAAATTAGAGGATTGGTGACGTGAGTATGGGCTTACATTACCGGCTCAGCGGCCTTCTGTGGACTAGAATAAGATGGACAGGCGTGAATGCAGAGTAGAGAACACTGTACTAAGCAAGTTAAGACCAAAGTAGGTCCACCAAGATCATCCCAGGACGATATGCGTTGTGGTGTTCTTCGTGGCTTCAGAAACACCCACCTCTGAAGATATAGGCGACGGATGCTCAAATTCCTAAGCAGAAATCATCTGAAAGGTGTCCGAAGCGACAGCCTAAGCTCAGCAGACGGTCCCTGATAGTCGTCAACTCCTAGCACCTTCATGACCCGTACTTCACACTAAGATAGTGACAATGATGGCATGCAGAGACCACGCCTCTAGTCTACTTCTTTCAGATCTCCATCCTTGTCATCAGGCTCCGTACGAGACTATCGCTTCTTCGTGAGTTCCCTTGCTGTATGGTTGGATTGTAGAGTAGAAATTCTCAGCCGCATCTCCTTATCCCAGTACACGCCCGGTCCCTTCCTAAATTGGTTGCTTGATTTGTCTTCTTTTTTTGTGTTTGCGAACATTCTGCATTGTTGCGATGGATAGGTCGACCAGAAATCCTGGTGTATTGATTTCCAGAATACATTGCTCACCCTCTCCTCCTTTCTTCTACCAGTCAACGAGCAGCGCTCGGAGAGGGCAGAAATCTGTCGTTTTGGAACAAACGTAGGCGATCATTCCTGATGATATTCCGCAGATACCTGTATAGTCGGACATAAGATTTTTTCCCCCAATCCCAGTTACGGCCTTTATCCTGAGCGACGCTGCTTTATCCTGGGCCGAGACTGAGCCGAGACTGAGTGCGCTTGAGGTACTGGGCTAACTTGGTCACATCCTAACAAAATCTTGTCCCCTTGAACTTCCACGTCTATCTCCTATCTAGCATCTAGGAACAATTTACTCACTCACCCATCTTCTGCATGAAGTTTTCATGTAAATTGTGTTACCAGCACCCGTTTCTGAACGAAGTTGCTGCCGTTGCCAACGTGTGTCAGTCGCTTCCGATGAGGCTCAAAGCTTTGTCTCCATGATGCGGGAACTCCTCAGTGAGGGTTTCAGCTTCTCTAACAATCAAACTTCTTGACCTGATCGGCAGCATGAAAGGCAACACTATCAATCAGCAGATGTATTATCATATTGTAATGGTTAAGCTTTTGTTAGGCATCAATCAGCTCTTGATTTTCAGTTTGTGGATATCGTCTACCTTACATCTCCTCATCTCAAACACTTTGAAAACACCTCTTGAAGCATTATTACAGAAGCTGCGCGTTCGCGAGACATGGTAATGTAAAATTGGAAAACGCAGTTGATACTTCAATAGCAGAGTTTCTTGTTCTCTTTAGTCTATCCCAATCGTTCAAATAAGTCTTATACACTGCATTGCTTATCTTCATCAATGATTGATACATCACTCCCATTATCATCGGTAACAGCTATCGTCAAGGATTTACCATTCTGAACCAACATTTCTTTCACTTTAGATGGCTGCTACTGCTATCACTGCCCTTACGATAAGTACATGTGCCTGTAGGTCTATCTCTCAATACTGGTATGGATATCAAATTTGTGGTTATCTAACGAGTACAGTAGTCTGCCTGGCGGCATTCAATAGCGCAGGAGCGTTCAGCCTGTGTGATATCATAAATAGGTTCGCCGAAAATACTGCAAGTGAGAATGAGCTGCAGCTGTTCCAGCACGAACTTGAAGATAATCCGTCAGCTCGACATTTGGCTCATTTACTACAACATCTGTTCTATTCTTGGCCTTGCGGATGGCGTTTGTCTCGAGTTGAATCGGCAAAAAAGGCGTTGCGATTACAGGTAGCGATCAGGCGTGTCGTTTTTCTGGGAATGCAATTGCCACCATTCGGTCCACCCCTTCTAGATGGAGATAATGCTCCGACGAATGAAGAAAGTGATCTCATTAAGAGACACTGCTCAGAACTCCAGCATCTGCTTCGTGATCCACGATTCAGAGATAGTCCTTTGGTCATGAAGTTACAGGAAAACCTTTCGGAAAGAGCGCTGTTTACAGACTACCCAAATGCGGAAGCCGACGAGGACCAAGCTCTGTCTGCCACGAATGCATATAAAAAGGAGCTTGAAGATGACCAATGGCGCTATGAGCATGTGCTAGACTCGTCGCGTATACATGTGAGCGGTCGACGTCAAAGCCAACTTGAAGGACAGCAATCCAACCAAAGGCGACCTCGACAAGTTCCCGGGATGCCGCAAGGGGAAAAGCTTCCTTCGAATCACTTTCGAGAGACTTCCATGAGTGAGATCGAACAGCCTTCGCAAAAGCCCAGCATGAACAAGTTCTATCCTCGCGGGTAGGTGAAATCCATGCAAGGGATCCCTCTATAGAAGCTACTATTAGAGGTGTTCGAGCCGCATCTGGTCCCCCCCCCCTTTGGCAAGATCTCGGACCGGCTCTTCGCCAGTTCAAGATCCACAACATCTCTCTAGCTCGAGGGCTGCTGGTCTGTCTGAGATGCGCCTGCAGCCCCCCATTGAAGTGAAGATGACTAAAATGGGACTCGATACAAAGCCGTCCGAGTTGCGTCCTCTGAAATCTGCAACGAGTCGAGAGAATGGAATTGAGATTACATCAGAGTGGGCAGCTCAAGAAACTCCTTCTCGAGTCGGTCGTTCTGAAGGGATCCTTTTCGACCGGATCATTTCCGGATCGGATCCTTCCATAACGAGTTCTCCCAAAGCAAACGCTCATGCAAAGGCTCCCTCTAGATCTATTGATCCAAAAGCAGTTGTAGCAGCGCAGCCTGATAATGGTCATCCCAGAATCAAATATGCGCCCCCCTTGGACGCTAGGAGTGCAACTCAAGTTGGAACTGCGTCTTCTCAACCTGCAAGGCAGCCTCAAACTAAACACCAAGGTCAACCAGCCAAAGTGACCTGCGCAAATCCTCAAAGGGGGGGCAGCTCACACGGGCGGTTCTGCAGCCGCAATCTCAGGGTTGGGCGCACGCCAACCCACAAGCCTACGTAGAGACGAAGGATCAAGAAAAGCAAACGGACGTTGACGAGGGGGTCGTCAACAGACAAAGAGGGTTCCAGGGGAAGAGACACGTTCATGAGGGTGAAAAAGCCCGACGTGAAACCGGAAGCCTAGGGCAAGGATCCGGAGCGGTCTGATTTACGTGTCGAGCGCGAGGTGCAATCGCAGGTGCAAGCACCGAGGCGCATTGCGGCGATAAAGGCACATGTAGGCCAGAAGAGCAGAAGTGTCGAGTTCCAGGCGGCTTCCGATGTTCGATACGATATCTGACAGCAATAGTACGCATGAACTGCAACAAGGATTACCAGGCTCGTAGTACTGGCAACAGAAATGTACACGGAAAATGAAGCGGGACATTAAGTATTGATAAAAGATAAATCTAGACTTACAGCTGATCGTATCTTGCATCAAAGATACGTTTTTAAGGAATTGATGATCATAATGTATACAGTTTTGCAATAAATTTAGAGAGACTTTTAGTTAAAGAGTAAAATTAAATTGTTATTATTTGTAAAGCTGTTAGGGATCCCAAGAGGTGCAGATACATGAGATGGTTATGGACCTTACGAAGGAATTCTGTGGTGAATTCCCTTGGTAATCCAGTCTTTTGCCGCACACTTCGCACGTGCGGATCATCAATGAAAAAGTGCAGCTGCTATTTTAAACAAAAAACCGGGAGCGTACAGTCCATCGCCCTGACACGTCGTCTAAGCTTGACGGAGAAGACATGATCACAACAATGAGATTACAACGCACGATTGACTTATAAGAAGGGAAGGAAAATGTGACGAGCAAGATCTGAGTAGCCTGGATAAGTGGGTGAGCAAGCTGCGCCAAAGGTGAGCCGACGATGGATAGCGCCTGAGTAAAAGCGGCGATGCTGACGAACCGTATGGAGGCCCCACCCAAAAAATCTTATGGGATAATACCCGGTAATCTAAAGTGCCTGAGAAGGTAACCCTTTTTATAAATGAGCTGGAGGAGGTACATCTTGAATTTGTGGGCTTCTAAATAGTCGCGGAAGCCGTCACCTCCATCATCTACAGGGCGGGGATTGTCACCTATGGGTTTTGCGCCCGACAGATCGACACAAACCTTATAGAGCCACTCAAGAAAGGAGCTGAAAGCCTTGTATTCGTGCTTAGGAAGTGAGATACACCGGCTTTCGTGCTCAGCCTGGGGACTCTCGATATCTGCCTTGATACGTCTTGAGTGCTCATACACGTAGCCCTTGTGGACTGAGTTTGATTGCTATTCCGCACCCACGAGAAAGGTAATAGTGTCTTCCGTCTTGTATCCGCAACGCGTATCAGCAACTTGGCCACGAAATGCTAGTGATCGGTTTAATCAACCCGAGAGACTTCTGAGGTGATCCGCTCGAGTCTCCCATTGTCGAGGTTTATGTTGCACAAGTCAGGATAGCCATCGGCTTACGGATATATGGATTGGACGATGTACGCCGAGATCGGGGAAGTTTAAGTGATGGCTTGAGTCCATATCAGTGAAGTGAAGCTTGGGGCCAGGTGGATCTAGTTTGTGGTTGATAAGTGTAACTTCAAGCTGCCGGGTTCGACAACTCTCTTCTGTGGCATATATCAACGTAAAAGAGGTAGCTTATCCCACCAGGAACACCAGTGGCTTCCACCCCATGCAGTATGACAAAGTGGCATATTAAGGGACGATCCTAGGGAAGAGTCCACAACACTTGCGCACCGTGGCATTAGTAAGAGCATCCCAAGTAAAAGAAGAGGTCCCAATGGCCAAAGCACTAGATTATGCTTATCAACGACACCCTGTATCAACTACCAGATGATGCGAGAATTCCACAATGCTCCGCGATGGGATTATTACCCCATGCCGCGTCTCTATTTATTCGGAGAAAGGCATGAACTTGACACAGACGCGAGTGACCTAGCTGGAAGCTTCGAGATCCGTGAACAAGTTGGTGATCTAACAGATTACCCGTTGTCTCTCGAGAAAGTCGATATTCTTTATCAAACGTCATCGAGCAGAGTCATGATGCAGAAACCGTAGCTGTGTGCCTTACGTAGGGCCTTCGTGTGATTTGGCTCTAATTTCGATTCGTTATTGAACCCAACCTTAGTCATACCACAGGGGAGGCATAACTATTCCTAGTATCGTGCTAGAAGCAACTTGTAAAGTTACAGCGCTACGTATCGACTCCTTGCCGTAATGAAGATAGAGTGCCTAGAAATCGCCTAATCAAGGTTAGCTCATATGCTTTCTCGAGACCGAGTGACAGGAATATCATACAAGCACAGCAGGATATCTGTACTGAGAGTGTGTTTGGAGTGGCGAATACTAACGCCATGCTAGGGAGACTTCTGCCAGATACCGTAGTACGTAGTAGTTAGATCACAGAGCTGAAGTTGTGAGGAGTTCAAAGTGACAGGGGGGCGGCTGATGCCGTTTCATGGATGTTCTGGACTTGGACCCCACATTTCCCCTTCCCCACTCAATGCGGCGCCGCTTACATATGTTGAGGTCCAAGTTACGAGGCTCTCGCAATCAATTCCCATCAATCTCTAATTGACATCCACCCTGTTAAAAACCCTCCAACGCGACCTTCAATAAAGCAAAGCAAAGCACCACTCTTCCCAGTCTCCGTGAGCACCAACCGTCATGGCAAGCCAGCCCGGCACAGGGCAGCGACCTCAGGTCCAGCCATGCCGATATAAGACCGGCAAGACATTAGGGGCTGGCTCCTATTCAGTGGTGAAGGAATGCGTGCATATCGACACTGGCAGATACTATGCGGCGAAAGTCATCAACAAGAGATTGATGGCTGGAAGAGAACATATGGTGCGGTTCCATGCTGCTCTTGTTATGCTGGCGATAAGATTGACTTGTCGATTAGGTCCGGAACGAAATCGCAGTGCTGAAGAAGGTGTCGATGGGACACCAAAACATCCTGACATTAGTCGACTACTTTGAGACCATGAACAATCGTCCGTTGTGAATCTCGTCCGCAGGAGAAAAGCCAAGCTAAACTTTTAATGAACAGTCTACCTCGTAACAGACCTCGCTCTTGGAGGCGAGCTCTTCGACCGAATTTGTCGGAAAGGATCATACTACGAGTCCGATGCCGCGGACCTGATTCGAGCCACTCTATCTGCGGTCGCGTACCTACACGACCATGGCATTGTTCACCGTGACCTCAAACCCGAAAACCTTCTCTTCAGAACACCAGAAGACAATGCAGACCTCCTGATCGCAGATTTCGGTCTCTCAAGAATAATGGATGAAGAGCAATTTCATGTTCTAACCACAACCTGCGGAACGCCAGGTTATATGGCGCCCGAGATCTTCAAGAAGACCGGCCATGGCAAACCAGTGTAAGCCCCATATCACAACCCCTTTCACTCTCCCACTGACACATTCCTTTCCAGCGACGTTTGGGCCATAGGTGTCATAACATACTTCCTCCTCTGCGGTTACCCACCCTTCGACCGCGAATCCAACCTCGAAGAAATGCAAGCCATCCTAGTAGCGGACTACTCCTTCACGCCCTCGGAGTTCTGGCGCGGCGTTTCCCAAAACGCGCGCGAATTCATCAGGCGCTGCCTCACCGTCGACCCGGTTCAACGCATGACGTCGCATCAAGCCCTACAACACCCGTGGATCAAGGGCCAGGATCCCCTGTCGCCACAAAAGGGCGGGCCGGTGGGCGGTCAGGAAGATTTGCTCCCAGTGATCAAGAAGAATTTCAACGCAAGGAGGACGTTGCATAAGGCGATTGATACGGTCAGGGCGATCAACAAACTGAGGGAGGGAGGTGGCTTGATGATGGGAATGATGGATGGGGCGATGAGTGTTGATCCCAAGCCGAAGCCGGAGATGGTCAATGGGAGTCGGGTCACGAGTGGTGACGATGGCGGGAATCCGATGGAGGGCATCGAGGGGTTGGCACACGGGTCCGAGGCGCCACTGCGCGCAGAAGAGAAGGGCGGGTCGACGCTCAGGCCTGGCACAAATGGACGGGGCGGTGATACCGACGAAATGGAGATTGATAGCCGCAGTGATGCGAGAGGTCAGACACAGGAGCAGATCCGGTTGCAGGAGAAGAAGGTCAGAGAAGCGGTCAGCGGGTTGTGGAGTCGGCGGTGATCGAGAAGGAGGGCAGCACTTTCATCAGATTTCTCAGCTGGAAGAAGGCTTGGCTTATAGAGGAGGCCACTTCAACACGTAAGGCTCTGTTGCTTTCAAGCCGAAACGCATATACAGCATATACAAGCCGCTTGCGAATTGGTATAATTTTGCTTATCTATCGCCCTTCATGTCTCATGAAGCCCAGTCAAAGGACGCTGGAATATCAGATTTTTATTCTTCCATCCCGCCCGGCCCACCTGGTCCACTTTGCTTCCCCATCTGCCTCGCCTTGAGCAGCTCATCGCAGAGCAGCAGATTGCTCGCAATTCCCTGACTGCTCGCAATACTGTTCCTCAGCACCCTGAATCCGTCAAAGACACCCTCCTGCACAGGAAGCATCGGCTCCCCTGTTGTCAGATCCAGGCCAACCATATTTCCTTCGGCGTGAGCGCCCTGTAAAGCAGCCAGCACATCCTGGATATCATGCCCGCTGTTGGAGGCTAGAGTTTTGGGTATCACAAGCAATGCGTCTGCAAAAGCAGCTACGCCCCATTTCGCCTTTCCTTTGACGGTTTTGCGGAAGGATTCTGATGACAGGTGGGCTGCGGCTGCGATTTGAAATGCGCCGGCACCGGGAACGACACATTGATCGATGATCGTGTTGTAGACACTACGGAGGCCGTCGCGGACTGCATCGTTTAGCTGGGTGATGGTGTGTTGGTTGGGACCTTTGATGAGCAGGGTGACCGATTTGGGGTCCTTGACTTCCTCGATGAAGGTGTATTTCTCTTCACCCAGAGTATGCTCGTAGACAAGACCAGCCCAGCCGAGGACCGACGGATCGAGATCGTCAACGCTGTTTTGTGCACTGCCGCCGCAGACGAGCTGCAGTCGCTCCATATTTCTTCGCTTGGCGCGGCGTAGGGCGAGGATACCGTTCTTCACTAGGACGTCTAATGATAGAGGGTCGATTCCTTTCTGATTGATGACCACGAAGCCCTTTTTCGGATCAGAACCACACACTTGCTGCTTGAGCTGGACAATCTTTCGAAGCTTTTCATCCACGAATTTTCGTTCCGACGCCACTAGCTTGTCTCTCTGTTCGGCACTGTTGTAGTAGAATCCTGAGTTGATTTCTGATTTTTCGTATTCGAGAGAGACGTTGAGGGTTAGAATGTATGCGTTTTCCACGCGCTTGGGCATGTCGGGATGTCGTGCACCATGGTCCAGAGCAAGCCCTCGAATAAGTTGGGTATCCGATGCAGTCCGATGTTGCATCTTCATGATCTCCACCATATGCAAATCAGGCTTCTCTGGGGGTCGGTGAATAGCCAATACAGCGTCAACTATCGAGGGGGTTAATTGTTCTGCCAGTGCAGCATTTATTTTGGTGGAAAGGGAGGTTCGTGCAACAGAGAGAAGGAGTTCACGATCAACCGAACGGGTAATCTTGAAGGTGTCTAAGAATCTCAACGTCTCCACTCTGGCAATCTCGTAGCCATTGGTGATGATGCGTGGATGTAAACCTTCCTGTATGTATCGATCTGCTTGCTTCAGGAGCTCGCCAACCAGCAGGACGACGGAGGTAGTCCCGTCTCCACAGATGTCATCTTGCGCTGTTGCTGCCCTTGCTATCATAACAGCTGTAGGATTCTGTATTTGCTGGGTAGGATGTCAGCCAGCGTTGTAGGTGAAGGCTACACATGGTTTACCATTTCCTTCAAGAGCACTGCTCCGTCCTTTGTGAGCTTGATCTGTGCGACCTATCAGTTGAGTTCGGCAACAGCAATTTATTGACTCACCGAACCTGCTCCGTCCACAAGCCTTTTCCAGATTAGCCAAGCCTATGAGAAGTATAAGGAGTTTCAATACATCTTGATAGTCCCTGAAGGTCCCAGATTGGATTTAAGCACATCTTGGAGTCCTTCGCCAGCGTTGATGTTCACACGCAGCGCTTCTCCTCTTCTCTATCTTTCAGTCAGCAATAGTCGGAAGAGAGGTACGGCGCTTCGGAGATTTGACGAACCCTGCTCTCCGCCTTGGGATTCAAGAGCTGCGTAGCTAGACACTGTCAGTACTTTTCTTATATTCCAGCCTGAAGCCAGCAGGAAACCATCTGGCGAGACTGACCTGACATATTGAGATTTGGACTGTGGCAAGGGAGTTATTGGTGATAAGTCCAGGTCGGTTTGATGGTAATTAATGGAGAATGGTAACCATTATTTTGTGGTGTTGTGTAAAGCTTGATACTGCGAAAGTAAACATCCTTTCTGCTCCAAAAAATGTTTCTGAGCTCCGCACCTAGCGCCAAGTACAGTACTACGTAAAGAAAATCTTCCCCAAGCTCACCACCGGCCGGGGCCTAGGGTGATGCCGCTCTTGCTCACCCCGGTCTCACTCTGATAGAACAAATCTATAAAATGAGCTAGTATAGTTGACGCCTAAGAAAAGTTGTTTGCAAGGGTTCAAAAGCTTACACTTTTTGGTGTGGGTTGGTGGTGAATTTTGGTGGCAATCCAATACCTTTTGTGAGGTACTGCAATAGTAGTAGCTTCGTCAGTATTAAGCTAGTATTTTATGCCAAGCATTTATCTTATCTGGAGCCTGCAACTACTAGTACTACTACAAGGGGACCATGAATTATTGTTAGTTTAGCGCTAGTATCTTTACTCCAAAACGTTCTTAATACGAAACAGCTAAGCCCATGTCAGACTAAAAGTAAAATTTCAGCTCATTTGAATGGTTGTGTTTTAATCAAGCTTTGCAATAACAAATTATGGCATCATAACAGAGTAAGAAGAACTAGCCATTACTAGCACCAGACTAACAATAATTACTACGTATGCCCCCCCTGTAGTACACCAAGGTCGATATTTTTCTTCACTTCCTTTATGTTGTCGCTTCAGAAATACCTTATAAATCTCAGTGACATAGATGGAATGCTTCAAATTGCTATGTGAGATATACAAACCCATCACTATTGACCTGCTACGTGAACATCCATGTCAGACAGAAGCAGTGCGGTGTTTATGATCTGGATAATAGTCCTCCGTGCATATTCTGCAGTGTCTCCTCTTCTCTTCGAGCGCTTCGAATATTAACTCGTTTTACACAGCGACAAAAGAGACAGTGAGAATTCTTTCTGATATTTCCCTTAGGTTGGGTAAGTCAAGATACCTCGCCAACATCTTTCAACTCACTTTCAGACCCTGGTCGCCAAAAATATTCTCGAATATTCTCCGGCCCCTTCAACACATTCCATTCAAAGAATAGTACCCGATAATAGGTCAAGAAAAAGTCAGGTGCATGAAACTGCACCATTGCCCTCACTGTAAGGTCCAACTTCCGGGCAACAGGATCGAACTGCACTGTATCGATCAAGGCGACACGAGTCAGAGGCTTACTCCTATCGAACATCTCCCCCTTGTTGATCTACCCGACTCGTTCTGGTAGATTATTCAATAACAGTGGAGATACATTTATATCTCTTCTTGGGACGGACTCCTACTCCTTACCCAAGATCTCCGTTTCTTCGTTAGTACCGATACATCAATTGACCTCCATAGCCACACGATAGATGCGGTCCCATTTCTCCGCTCCAGTGACCACCATCTTCCCCTCGATAGCGACCGAGCCCCTAGTAAGTTCCTCGGCATGCTCAAAATAGATGCGGGGCTTCTTGACCAGTGGCTGCGCCCCATAGTCACGGTCGGCACCGTCCTCTAGCCTATACTGGTTCGCCAGTTCGCTCAAGTTTCTCTCGACCACTTTGATTTGGTCCGAGGCATCGCGGGCCGCCGTACCTGTGTTAGTTGGTTCGGCGAGATGGGCACCGCCGGCATGGACCCACAGTGAATTCGTAGGCACATAGTGCTTCGGACGATAATTATTAGGATCCGGTGAGAGGCGCATTCGGCTGATCACCGAATGATGAAAGAGCGCGGTAGAGGGGATGTCACGGCGCTCACCACGGTTGGGTGGCCAGCCGATGTAGTCCCATATGTAGGACCCTGACTTGGGAGGGGATTCGACATATTCCCAGCGTTTAATCACGAACGGCAGATGTTCTGCATATCTGGTGTTAGTCATGCACGAGCACGGCAAAAGGCAAACGTACCTATGAAATTCCACAGCATAACCTTGAGCTTGTTGGTGGAGCCCCCGTTCCACGTCAAAGTGTCGTGCATTCGAGCAGAGATCATCTCGTCCTTATTCTGCTGGAATCGCCGGAGGAAGTTGGCCTTCTCCTCTGAATCCCACGCAAGGCGGTCGGTGGGCTCCTCCACGCGGCTCGCCTCCACATCGTCAACCTCATCCATCATCCATTTCAGAGCAATGTCGCTGAGCTGAAAGTAGTCATTGTCGTTATTCTCATGCGCGCTTCCATCTTCCCTGTCCGCCACATTCCAGCCGCCACCAACATCGCCGTGGTTTCCCGGAAACCACACCTCCTTGATGTCTTCCGGCGCCTCGTGTTGCTCCTGCGAGAAGAGCGCAGCCTTGAACTTCACGCGGCGCTCATCAATGGCGACCGCATGCCGCACGTGCTTGGCTGTGCCGCGAACTGCTGGCAAGGGTGGTGTCTTTTGAAAGAAAGGAATGTCGAGGTTACCAACCGAACTGACGCAATCAAATAGGCCAAGAAAATGGACTTTGATACCGCTCTCGTTTTCCGAAATATCCTCGTGGGCTTTCCGAGCGGCCTCGACCTCAGTACGGCAGAAGTGCCTTTTGAAGGAGTTCATAAACTTTACATGCTCTTCTTGCTGCGCAGCTGTTCCACCACGATTCTGCTCATATTTTTGATATACCTGGTATGCAAACGGAACCAGCTCTTCGTTGCCTACGGACAAAAGCCCCACATGCGAAATCATACGCGAGAGAAAGCGGGCAGTGAAGGCACCGCGCGAGAAGCCGAAGATGTAGATTCGGTCACCGGGCCGATAGTGACGCATGATAAATCTATAGCCCGCAACTACATGAGAGTCGAAGCTCGTTGCCAGAGCCGAATCGATCACCGCTTCGAGTTTGCGCATCAGGCTCCGGAGCCAGCTCACGTTGATCGGTCCCTCGGCCGGGTAGGTGCCGATGCCAGCTACGTGGATCCCATTAGCAAGCCTCCAAGGATCTTCTGGAGCAAATATTACGCTGATAATAGTGCATCTGGCACACATTCGTTCGATCAAACATGTTGTAGAGCTTGATGATGTTTGTATCGCCGGGTGTGCCCTGGAACACATTTCCCGTTCCGTCGAAGCATAGGATCAACCGGTTCGATGACCGGACGTAGATGTCGTGCTGATGATCCGCGGACCGCGTTCTCGCCGGCATTGTGGAAGCGTACGTTCGGGGTGATAGGAAAGTCGCGGGGCCGAGACGAGCGATGCAACGCCGCGTTGGGCCGAGAGTGATAGAGCGGAGAGGTTGGATGTAAGACGTGGCAAGTACTAAGTGTGTTTCTTCGAGGTCATGACCAAGGATTGCAGAGGATTTGCATCCCTAAGCTGCAAGGTGGTGGTGATGTATATATATACCTGGTGCATCCCCACCCGGGGAGCGTGGATTCCGCTACAACAATCCTCGCGCTCGCAATGGCAGCTGTCTCATCAGGGTGCTCGAAAGGGAACGTAGCCTTGCGTGGCTCTAGAAGCCTTGTTCTGGATTGGTTCGTTTGTCTTCTGGCCTGCCCGGCTCCCAATCCTCCCAATCCGCGAAGGGCGCGCCAGCCATGGCCCATAATACTTGCGCCATGAGTTCTCGCCCATTGCGTTATCCCTCTTCTTTCACCACATAACCGGGCTCTGCTGTTTCGATTGAGCCAAGTGGCGTGTTCCGTGGTCAATGGGTCTGCTGGTGATATGCAGTGCATTCTCCACAGTGGGTTAGGGATCCGTCATGATCTCCCTCTGGCTGGCTGAAAGCAGTTGAGACTTAGTCGTGGCTAGCTGACGAAGTACCCATAGCTCAGCGCTCGTATCTTTGCCAGAAAACACCCTACAAACGGATCAGCTGAGCCTTGAGCAGTTGAGCGGCCCTACCGTGGCCAATAACTATGGGATATTGTTCAAGCAAGCTTCTAGACATCATGGTGGCGCTGTATCAGAACTAGCTGCTAACTGAGCCCTCCAATAGGTTAGCAGCTTGCTCTTCTCTTTTCGGCTTTGGCATCGCTGCCGCCCAAAATGGTATGGTTAGGCATGTCTTTTGCGCACTCCACCCGCAAGCCACTATTACTTTAAATGTTGGCGTTAAGTTCCCCGCTCCAATAGTCTACCTGTAGCCCAGCTACTAGGGTCAATGTGACATTTAACGTCGTACTACATACGCAGTACGACAATTTTTCCGGGTCCCAAGTGCTTCTCTCGGCGACCAATATGAGAAATGCAAATTAGAATTGCATGTCTTGGATGCGTTTTATTCCCACTCTGTACTACGCACTGTGGTGGTGTCATTTCGTATTTCCAACCTTTGACGTTCCAAGTTCAGCCAGTCGTGATCCCCGACTTAATCTTCGTTTGGACGGTGTGCGTCCGAATTCGGAAGAGTGGAGCTTGAAGCGCAAAAATCAGTCTCGAGATGGCCGGCAAGTGCAAAAGACATGGACTTCCATGCGGGGTGGCGCAGCCTTCTCGCCGGCTGGCTGCTCAGGAGCTATGGTCTACACCATAGCAACTTGACATACGTCCCTCAAATGAGGGGTCATGTGAAGTGTTCATCAATTTCGATACACGGAAATCTAAGTGGTCGAGAAGGCAGCCTATATGGGTACACCTCCGCCGCGCATATAATAGGAGGTGGACCCGGATCTGCTTTCGACATCCACCCATCTCCATTCTCTCTGCAGGCTTCTCTCGCCTGCAATATCCCTCTGGCTTGTGACTAGATCGGATATCAAGGACCAATTTTCAGTTAGGAGTTGTCGCTGCTGCTCTTACTGCTGCTGCTACTGCTGCTACCTACACTCTTTACATCCATTCAAGCGACAAAATGAGCCCCAAAGATTTCAACGCCAAGCTCGAGATAGGCGACAGCTATACTAGTAGCCCCAAAAAAGTCCGGCCGAGCCTCTTATCCAATCCAGCCGCCGTCGTGAGGGAGATCCTCGCAGACTGTGCAGCAGTACGCCAAAAGTACCACTTCTACCAGCTGCTTCCACTGCTGGAGGATCTCGTGAAGAAGGGCGAGCCCCTCGACGACAAAAAAGGCACCACTGAGCAGCTGATTGAAATCCTCACTCTCTTGCCTGCCGAGTCGCAGCTGCGCACCGACCTCACGAATACTCTCCTCGACACTCTTTGGGATAACCTCCAGCACCCGCCTCTGAGCTATCTTGGAGGCAATGTGAGCTATCAAACGGATCAAGAGGTCGAGCAGGCTAAAGTAGGAAAATCGAACACCAAGACTAGCTCCCTGGATCCAGAGTCGGTCGAATTCGTGTCTCCGGTGGATGCCAACATCAAGCTGGTTGAGACAGTGCCCACTCCTCCCAACGCGGTTCTCCAGTACCGAACCCCGGACGGCAGCTACAACAATATTCTGAGCCCAGATCTCGGAAGGGCTGGAACCCCTTATGCCAAGTCCGTGCGAACGGAGAAGAAATTGGCCGGCGTGAAGCCCGATGCCGGCCTTCTCTTCGACCTTCTTATGGCTCGTGGGGACAAGCCCGGTGATTTCAAGGAAAACAAAGCCGGCGTCTCTTCCATGCTCTTTTACCACGCTTCAATCATCATTCACGACATCTTCCGCACGAATCGGGCCGACACCAACATTTCGGACACATCGTCGTATCTTGACCTCGCCCCTTTGTACGGTTCCAGCCTGAAGGAGCAGCTCTCAATTCGTACAATGAAAGAAGGAAAACTAAAGCCCGACACGTTTGTGGAGAAGCGCCTGCTCGGTCAGCCGCCAGGAGTCAATGCTATACTTGTGCTCTACAGCCGATTTCACAACTACGTTGCTGAAGTTCTCCTGAAGATCAACGAGGCAGACCGTTTCCAGCTTGCGGCCGGCCCGGACCAAGGCCCGGTCCAATACGCTAAGGCCATTGCCAAGCAGGACCATGACCTTTTCAATACCGCTAGACTGATTGTAAACGGACTATACATCAATATCTGTCTCCACGACTACCTGCGTGCGATTACCAACACGCATGCCTCCGCCAGCAACTGGACCTTGGACCCTCGAGTGGAAATCGACAAGCACTTTGACAGCCAAGGGACTCCGCGCGGGATTGGCAATCAAGTCAGCGCTGAGTTCAATCTTCTGTATCGGTTCCACTCATGCATTTCCAAGAGGGATGAAGCTTGGACCAACAAGTTTTTTACAGAGCAGATATTTGTGGGCAAGAGCCTGGAGGAGATCTATAAGATGTCGGAAGCCGACCTGATGAAGGGAGTGCTGCAATCTGCACAGCAGGTGCCATCGGAGCCGGAAAAGCGAGAGTTCGGCGGCTATAAGAGAGGAGCTGACGGGAAATTCAAAGATGAAGACCTCGTGAGCTGCCTAAAGGCATCAATGGATGATCCCGCGGGTATCTTCGGCGCGCGTCAAGTCCCAAAAATTTTGCGAGTGGTTGAGATTTTGGGCATCGTACAAGCGCGCAAATGGCAAGTCGCCTCTCTGAACGAGTTCCGCGACTTCTTTGGCCTGAAGCGCCACCAGAAATTCACGGATATTAACTCAAACAAGGATATAGCGAATATCTTGGAACGGCTATACGCGCATCCCGACATGGTCGAGCTCTACCCCGGCCTTATGATCGAGGACGCCAAACCGGTTAGAAGCACCGGCTGCGGCATCTGCCCTACCTACTCCGTGGGCAGGGCAATCCTCTCGGACGCCATCACCTTGGTTCGCTCCGACAGGTTCAACACAATCGACTATACCGTGAGTAACCTAACCGCATGGGGCTACAATGAAGTCCAGCAGGACTACGAGACGCTCGGCGGCTCCATGTTTTATAAGCTCATTCAACGCGGCCTGCCCGGTTGGTTCCCGTACAACTCCCTTAACGTCATGCAGCCCATGTACACGAAGGAGGCTAATATGAGAATTGCCAAATCTCTCAAAACGATCCAACTGTACACGACAAAAGACCCGGCACCTCCACGCCCTGTCGTAGTTCTGACAAAGCATGATGATTGTAAGGCTGTTCTTGAGGATCACAAAACGTTCGTCGTCCCATGGTTGCCGGCGATCAACGACCTCTTCCCTGGAGAAAGAGACTTCTCCTGGTATATGCTCAGCGGAGACGGGGCGCAGAACTTTGCGAACCGGCAGATGTCCGAGAAGATATTTTATGGGGCAATGCCTAGCCTTTTGCCCACGGTAAAGCGGTTCGTCAACCAGTGGGGACGTGATTGGATCAGCAAAGAGGGCTTCAAGATGGCCGAGGGTCTCTACGAGATCGACATCCTTCGCGATGTTGTCATCCCATTGAACGCACGCCTCTTGGCTGACCTGTTTTACTTCGACTTGAGAACAGATGACGAAAATCCCCAGGGCTCGCTATCACATGCAGACCTCTACAAGCACCTTTTAAACATTCGCGTCTGGGGGGCCAATAACAACGATCCAGCCCAGGCTTGGAATCGCAGACGGTGGGCTCAGCAGTCGGCCAAGGTCATCATTGACACCACGCGACCGCTGGTGCAGGAGGTGGCAAACGGGAAGGACACTGGCGGCATGTTTACGTTTCTGTCTTCATTTGTATGGCCCAATGGATCCCATGGCTCGAATATAAAAGAGGGCTCGCTACGCTCGCTTGGTCGTAAGTTAGTGCAAGCATACCTTGCAAATGGTACGTCAGTGGAAAAAACGATTGACAACCTCTGGCTCAACGGTTTTGGCGCTGTTGGCACCCTTGTTACCGCGGTATGTTTGCCCTTTCTCGTTCCCTTAGCCGAGCGTCAATTTTCAACTAACAATCTTCCACCAGTTCGCCGAGTGTATGGAATTCTTTCTCCAGCCCAAGAATGTCCATATTTGGTCCGAGGTCCAAAGCATGGCTGAGAGGGACGACGATCAAGGAATCCGTGATTATTTCCAGGAGGCTCAGCGTCTCACCACCCGGGGAAGAAACATGCGCATTGCTACCAAGTCGAAAAGGATTGGCGAAAAGTCGATCGCGCCTGGAAGCGCAGTAGTTTTGATGCTCGTAAGTCTCCTCCTTCCCTGTCATCCGAGACCTCCAACGCTCATATACGGTAAACGCACAGGGCGAGGCAGGGCGCGACGCCAGTCATGTTTCTAACCCGCATGAGTTTCGGTCCGATCGCAGAAGCCAGAGCGCCACCAGCCGGCCGATGCAGCCTTTCAGCGACGGCATCCACCACTGCTTCGGCCGAGAAATCGCCATCACCTTCGTTTGCGAGATGATCAAGCTTGTGGCCGGTCTGAAGGACCTCCGGCCCGCGCCCGGCCTCTCTGGCCAGATCAAGGCCATCCAGCTGGGCACCGAGAAGTGCTTCCTTAACAACACTTGGTCTTACCTTACGTTTGACCCAACCAGTGCGTATTCCTTCCCTCCAACTCCCCTTTCGTTAGGCACATGCTAACGGTGATCATCCTTCGCAGCCTGGAAGCTCCATTACAGCGGCACCGGTAAAGGAACATACAGAGCGCCAGAAAGGACAGCGCCGAAGATGAGCTTGTCGCAAATTGAAATGCTTATCAGCTCGAAGATTGAGCCGGAAAAACTTTGAGTTGCGTTTGTAAAGATTGGGGGGGGGGTGGCCCTGAGGTATTCTTTGTAGCAGGCGGACTGCCGGAGCGATACCCATTCATCCTGCAGCAGTCAAGACAGCACCACAGATCAAAGGACACATCTCTAGGCTCCTAACTAATAAATGTGGTAGTGTCATAGGTATGCCCATAAGAGGCCTGCAATCTTTGTGCCAATACACATTCACAGTTGGGTGGCAGCGTCGGAATCCATGACTAGATAGAGGGATCAGCCGCACGGGCGCTATGTTGTACTACGGGGGCTTGATGTAATGTTAGTCTGGTGCTAAGAGCAACTAGTTCTTATTGCGACAATCTGGTGTTATGATTCGTTACTTCAAAGCTTGTTCTGTGTACATCCATTCTGATGAGTTAAATCATTACATCTAACTTCTTTTGAGCATAGCTGTTCTGTTAGAGCGGGTTTACAAAGTAAAGATACTAGCGCTGAGCTAACATTACTTCAGCCCCCCTGGTAGTAAAGTGACTATTCTTGGGGATAACAAAGACATAGAGCAGAAGAAAGGAGAAGCCCCATTTGTGACTGACTGGACCTTGTTGCTGACAACTTCCAGCCGAGTTGAATTGTGAGAGATTGTAGAGTGTCTGACTGCTAGAATCCTAGAAAAGAGGGCTCGAGACGTTGAAGTTCTGCTGACCATCATCTGGATTTCGCCAGTCTCGCCCGTATGGGGTTAGATCCCGATGAACGTAGTACTTTTCAATCCTCTCAAATTCATCTGGCAAGGGCACGTTCTATTGCACATACTGTACCTGTTTTGGCTGGAGTCTAAAGCTTCTTGTCGTTATTCAGATGTTCTTCAAGGTGAAGTGATAAAGATTTCTATAACGCACAGAGATAAATAGTGATACCAAAGTTAGAAAATCATTATCCATAGGATTCGGTAACATTCCTGGCGAGCTTGATGTGGGAGCTGTTGACTTCGGTAAAGAAGCCACTCGCTTCAGTCTAGCGTTTCGTCAACGAGCTGGACTTTCAGAGGCGGAGAAAAGTCGATGTACAGAGATCCTGAAGAAGGCGGGAAAATACAACATCTTGCTCCCTCGGAACACTGCTAGGAGGACTCTGAAGGCCATGTCGCCAATCATCTTCGATTTGAATTGTGAAACAAGATACGGCGTCTTTCAGCAATACCTTCACAGGAATCTCTTATGGTACGTGTCTGACAACAAATTGGAGCGGATAGAGTATCGCGAGCCGGAAGTGTCATCGTGGTCACGGATGGCATACACTGGAGGCGTCCAGTTCATGAAAATAACCTTTGACGGTGGCGTGTGGATTGAAGACCTCCGATTTGATGATGAGCGCTGTGGAGTAGAATCAATCAAAGTATCAGATTGGTAGTGTGTGTGTGTGTGTGTGTGTGTGTATAGAAATCTAAAATATGCAGCCGTGCATCAAAAGTCTTCAATAACTAGGATGAGTAAAACCTAGCTTTTCTTGTGCTAGCACACTGCTAGTATTCAGTAGGGACGTAAAGATCATCAGAGGGGGCGCATGGCTGAAGCTCAACTGACACAGACTTCTAAGCCGCATCAGGTAGCCTAAAGAGGGCCCTAAGGGTCTAAGGAAAAATGGGGTTGTAGCCGCCAAGATTCCGTAGAAATTCTCCACAGTGAGAATAGATTGTCTTGCAACACGTACCCAAGCTACGAGCTTCATTCTGAACCTTTTAGCAGTCTATTGTCTCCCTGCATAGCTTACGCGAGATTGTGGCATCGACCCACCGCTATGGCCGACTTTCTCCTCCACGAGGGTCCAATGGGCTACTCCCTATTCAAAGTTGTGCATCAGGTTGACACAATTGGCAACAGATTGAAGGAGGTTCAGGATAGTGTACAAGATCTTGCAAAATTTGGCAAGATGGTGCAACTCGTCAGTTTTCTGCCATTCGAGTATGAAACCTGCTTCTGTCTTGGTCCGACCACAACCTAACTCCACTAGAAATGGTAAACAGGCTCTGGAAGAGCTTCACGACATCTCAGAAGGAATCGCATCGGACTTCCTGCGCTCATTTCTCGAATTAAACCTTCCGAAGACGAAAGCTGTGCTTGGTGTATCAGACAAGATTCTTGCAGGAAGCATTAAATCGGCCTTTCCTAAGATTGAATGCGAGACAGGAGACACCAGTGAAGTGGTCCAAGATATGTTAAGAGGAATTCGACTTCACTCGGATAAGCTGCTGAAGCAGTTGAGGGAAGGCGACACCAATACTGCGCAATTGGGCTTGGGTCATGCATACTCAAGGGCGAAAGTCAAGTTCTCAGTACAGAAGAACGACAATCACATCATCCAAGCTATTGCGATCTTGGACCAATTAGACAAAGCCGTCAACACCTTTTCCATGAGAGTACGAGAATGGTATTCCTGGCATTTCCCAGAATTGGTGAAGATTGTCTCGGAAAACCAGAAATATGCCAAAGTCGCGCTGTTTGTCAAGGACAAGAAGACATTGTCGGTAGACAAGTTGCATGACTTAGCTGCTCTGGTAGACGATGATGAGGACATCGCAAAGGGTATCATCGAAGCAGCCACCAGGAGTATGGGCCAAGACATTTCCGCAGCCGATATGGAGAATGTCACTTTGTTCGCACAAAGGGTGATCAGCTTGGCGAATTACAGAAAGACGCTACACAGCTATCTCGTCTCCAAGATGGGAGTAGTGGCCCCTAATCTTGCTACACTGATTGGAGAGGTAGTAGGAGCGAGATTAATTTCCCATGCGGGTAGTTTAACCAATCTCTCGAAGTATCCTGCTTCCACTGTCCAGATTCTTGGAGCAGAGAAGGCTCTTTTTAGAGCGCTCAAAACGAAGGGCAACACACCAAAGTACGGTCTTCTCTACCATTCCTCGTTCATTGGCCGAGCTGGACAGAAGAACAAGGGAAGGATATCAAGATTCTTAGCAAATAAATGCTCAATGGCGTCAAGAATAGACAACTTCTCGGAAACTCCGTCAACTGTCTTTGGGGAGGCTCTGAAAAAGCAAGTGGAGGAAAGACTCGACTTCTACTCGTCTGGTGCTCCACCTACAAAGAATGCAGTGGCTATGGTAAGTTGCTTCCGAAAGTTGCTCCGAAAGTTGATCTCAAGCTCGGCTAACCCTCGACCAGCAACAAGCAATGGACACGGTTCTTGGCCAGATGGACATCGGGGATCCTAGCGCCAAAGTCGATGAAGACACGGAGATGGGTGATATCGCTCCTCAAGGTGTCCAAAAGCAGGAAAAGCAGAAGAAGGACAAGACGGAGAAGAAGCAGGGTAAGGACAAAAAGAAGGAGAAGAAGTCGAGGTCACGCCAGGATGATGCGGTCGAATCTAAAAAGCGGAAGCATGTTGAAGTCAATGGTATTGTTAGGACTGAGGGCAAGAAGAAGAAAAAGAAGTCGAGCGTTGAGTAAGCAAGATGTCAATCACCCCGATGGTTGTTCCAGGGCGCAACAGATTGCAGGGCGTAACAGATTGCAGGGCGTTAGGAGTACTTCTAGCTGTGGAGAGCTAATCGGCGTTCAATCGTGTAATGCGAGCCCTAGCGATTGTTGAGGAGTCAGCAATGTTAGTCATTCTGGGGCGACTTCATTGCTGGATGCTACCAAGTGCTCTTATACAACCATTCACGGCTCAAACTTTGGCCATCAATGCACGATAATATGAAAAATTCCTGGCGTGAAGGACTTAGCACCAGCTGACTTCACGCATGCGCTTGTGACACCACTCCAATCTTAGAGACAGGTTCGAGGTGACCGGAATCCGTAAAATACAAACGGTTTCAACTATTCAAAGGATGGATCTGCTTGACGTATTGATATTTGTCATCCAGCAATCTTCAGATGATACCCAGCAAAGCAAGAGATTCTCATATGCTAGACGAATACTGTAAGCCATTTGAAGACCCGCAATGGCTTCTTCAACCCCACGAATAGAGATATACAACTCCCCAAAAAGGAAACGGGGAGCACTTGACTCAATAGAGAGCAGTCCACACGGTTCACCTAGGATATCGCGCATTACGACAGCACTACCAGAGTATCCATTTCCTCAAGAACTTCAAGACAGATCTCCCAGGCCTGAGGAAGGAAGCCCAAGCTCCAGAGTGACAGGTCAATTCCGAACCCTTGATTTGCAGGGAACCTTCGTACGACAAATCGCTTTCACAGATGCCGGTCATGCAAAGAAGCGCTTTGCGCAGGCAAACGAGGAGCAACTATCGCAAAATACGGACGACGACCCCTCCCCCGATGCTCAATGCGCCTCGTCGCCGCCAGATCCCGAGAACAATGTCTACCCTGCCCGTGAGAATCCTGGTCTCGAGAAGTTCACGCCCTCCTCGAACATCGTAGATCGACCGCGGGCGCATAGCAGATCCCCACCATTAGATGGGGATCCAGAAGACAATCCAATGACATGGCATGAATCAGAAATCACAGGACATAACCCTACAGATCCGAATGACGACGGATATGGCATCAACGGCATTGGCTTTAGACCGACACCCGCAATCGCATGGGCTCGATCACAAAGAAGAAAACAACAGCTTGCGGAGTACAGAAACAGAGAAGCTCGAGAAGCTCGGGAGCGGAGGAGCCAGAGAAGACGGGGCGAGAGTGCTGAGCTATCAGCCGAAAATGCTGAAAATACGAAGAAAAAAGGTGCTAAGGTGCGATTTGGTGACAGGAACTGAGGTTGGGAAGTAGTCGAAGGTGTTCTGGCCACGAGATGTCCATAATTGGCTCCTAGTTTGGTCACCACCTTGATCACGTCGACACACCTGCGAATGCTGCATCATGAGACAATTGCAGATGCTCTACTTATCAACGTTCCAACGCAAATTGGTCTCCAGTTACCAGAAGCTCCAACTACTCTTTTGCTTCTGCCGATGTTCCTCCTTCAATCTTTCTGCCTCAGCTGCTGCAGCGACAGCCTTCGCCTCTTCTGCCTCCTTCTCGCGCTGCCTCTTCTCCTGCAACATCTTCATGCCAATCACTGCCGCCGCCATTCCCTTCGCCTCTTCTTTCCTTCTCGACTCGCACCATCCATATTGACCCAGTGACAAGATCACGAAGCCAGCAACGGAAAAGTTTGCGGCTCTACCCATGCTCTTGAGACCTGGTTTGCGCAGTGAGCATAAACATGTTCTGTCCTTGTGTACTTTTCTTCTTACCTCCTATAATAGCTGTGACACCACCAACGGTAGCCCCGCCTCCAAGACCAACAAGCAATGCATCTCGTGCGCAGGGCGCTTTATACCACCTCTTTGCGTCTCCCGATTTCCACTCGAAAGCGGACTTCCAAGTAACTTCTTTCGGCTTGCCTCCAGCAGAGTTGTAGGTCCCTCCTGGCATTTCATTCACAGGCTCGGCGGGATTACCAAAAGCCTCCCACATCTTCCCTGCCTGGGTTGTGGGGAAATCATGTTTTGGTTTCCTTCGCTGGGGTAAGGACTCGTCAGTGACAGGTGCATCATTTGGTGGAGCATTGTTGGATTTTCGAGTGTCTTCTGCCATGGTGTGTGAATGTTGTGAAATCAGAAATCAAGCGGCCATGGATCATACTTGGGAGGATTTCGTAGCGCTTCCTCCGCCAAGCCGGGTGATCTCCAGGGTGGTTAGCGGCCACTTTACACCAGAACGCGTTTCCCAAGTCCCCTCAATGCTTGACGCGTCTCCGCCAAAACCCACCTACACTACCTTCCATGCGACAAGAACATTTGACAGTGCAGTTCACCAGTTATTTGCTGAGCAAGCAATGTCCGCCTCCACACCTCACTCCCTCACTTTTTCCTCCTCTTAACATGCTCTAAGGCGTTACAGGAGGTGTTTTTCAGGAATACCCAAATACCTTGCAAAACCCAAAAATGCCAACTCGAAAGCCTAGCAAGTATGGGAACAACTTAAGGTCCAAGAAATCATCCTACAATCCTCGCAATACGAAAACCGTTCAGCTTTCTGCGCTTAGATCCTCCGAAGCTACCTCTCAGGATGAAAAGCTGCAGGCCACCAGACTGGCCCACAGCATCGATGAGTCAATGGGATTTGCACGTTATGAGTCTGGCAAGAAAAGAGTGGGATGGCTCTGCAATATGCATAGCACGACCATAGAGGATTCCAAAGTACCCGGTGGACGAGCCGGTGTCGACTTCTACTTTCTTAGCGATGACGGAGAAAATTTCAAGGCTACCGTACAATATGATCCCTATTTCCTGATCGCAGTCAAGCGAGGGCGAGAAGCAGAAGTGGAAGAGTGGTGCAAGAGAATATTTGAAGGACTTGTAAAGACAGTCAGCAGGATTGAGAAGGAGGATCTGCAGATGCCCAACCATCTGCTTGGATATAGACGGACCTTTTTGAAGCTTTCCTTTGCAAATGTGTCTGATCTTCTGTCAGTACGGAAAACAATCATGCCTATCGCGGAGAAGAATAAAAGCAGCCTCAATGCAATGGACACTTACGCAGAAGTAGCCGGTGCGAGTGCGGGCTTTGATATTTTTGATGAACGGCCTGACGAGAAACGATCTAGTGGCATTATGGAAGCGAGTAATTCTATCGTTGACATTCGAGAGTACGACGTTCCCTATCACGTTAGGCTAACCATCGACAAGAACATACGAATTGGAAAGTGGTACAGGGTTGAGGCCAACCACGGTCAGATATCCCTGACTTGTATTGAAGACCGACTTCAGCGAGCCGATCCGGTAGTGCTTGCCTTCGATATCGAGACAACAAAACTGCCTCTGAAATTCCCTGACGCAGCAATTGATCAAGTTATGATGATTTCATACATGATTGACGGCCAGGGCTTCTTGATTACTAACAGGGAGATTGTGTCAGAGGATATTGCTGATTTTGAATACACACCCAAGCCGGAATACGATGGTCCCTTTTTGATTTTCAATGAACCAGACGAGAAAGCTGTTCTGGAACGCTTTTTCCTCCACATCAAGGAGGCCAAACCCACAGTCATTGCTACTTATAACGGCGACTTCTTCGATTGGCCTTTCGTCGAGGCAAGAGCAAGTGTGCTTGGTGTCGACATGTACGCAGAAATTGGATTCAGGAAAAACAGTGAAGATATATATCAGAGCAATTACTGTGTGCATATGGATTGCTTCAGCTGGGTCAACCGAGACAGTTACCTGCCACAAGGCAGCAGGGGCCTGAAAGCTGTAACCGTTGCGAAATTAGGGTATGATCCTGACGAGCTGGATCCTGAGTTGATGACGCCTTATGCCAGCGAACGACCGCAGACGTTAGCTGAGTACTCGGTTTCGGATGCAGTTGCAACTTATTACCTGTACATGAAATATGTGCATCCCTTCATATTCTCTCTGTGTACAATAATTCCGCTCAACCCAGATGATACTCTTCGAAAAGGCACGGGAACACTTTGCGAAATGCTGCTCATGGTGCAAGCATATCAGAAGGATATTGTGTTGCCAAACAAGCACAAAGAGCCTAGGGAAGCCTTTTGGGAAGGTCATTTGCTTGAGTCCGAAACCTACGTTGGCGGCCATGTGGAGAGTATCGAAGCTGGAGTTTTCCGTGCAGATATTCCTGTCAACTTTGCCATCGACCCGTCGGCCATCGATGAGCTACTCGGCGATCTCGACGCAGCGTTGAAATTTTGTATAACAGTTGAAGAGAAGAAATCGCTTAATGACGTGACGAATTATGAAGAGATCAAAGCACAAATCTCGGGAAAGCTGCATAGCCTCAAGGATAACCCGAACAGGCACGAAAGGCCTCTCATTTACCATCTGGATGTTGCGTCTATGTATCCAAACATTATGACCACGAATCGACTTCAGCCCGACTCTATGATCACAGAGTCAGATTGCGCAGCGTGCGATTTCAATCGGCCAGGAAAGACTTGTGACAGAAGATTACCCTGGTCATGGAGAGGGGAGTTCCTCCCCACAAAACGTGACGAATATAACATGATTCGCCGTGCTGTCTCGAACGAAACATTTCCGGGCAAGTCCAAACAGAGTCCTCATCGAACATTCGACCAACTCAGTCTCGATGAGCAAGCAGCCATTGTCAAAAAGCGTTTGCAAGACTACTCGAAAAAAATCTATCACAAGATTCACGACACCAAAACGATCGAACGAGAAGCTATCATCTGTCAACGGGAGAATCCCTTCTATGTTGACACGGTACGAAATTTTCGCGATAGGCGCTATGACTTCAAAGGTCAGCAGAAGGTCTGGAAGGGAAAGACGGAAACGTTGAAGTCCTCAGGCGCATCTACTGCAGAAATAGAAGAGGCTAAGAAGATGATTGTTCTGTTCGACTCCCTCCAGTTAGCCCATAAGGTCATCCTGAACAGCTTTTATGGTTACGTGATGAGAAAGGGGTCCCGGTGGTATTCAATGGAGATGGCTGGCGTCACATGTCTTACAGGAGCCCACATCATCCAAATGGCTCGAGAGCTTGTTGAGAGAATCGGCCGGCCCCTTGAACTGGACACCGATGGAATCTGGTGTATGTTGCCCGCAACATTTCCGGAGAACGTGGTCTTCACGCTTCAAAATGGCAAGAAAATGGCCGTTTCTTATCCATGTGTCATGCTGAACCATCTTGTCCATCAAAAATTCACCAATCACCAGTATCAGACCCTTACGAATCCAGTGACTTTCAAGTATGAAACCCGCAGCGAGAACTCGATCTTTTTCGAGGTTGACGGACCCTACAAGGCGATGATCCTCCCAACTTCAAAGGAAGAGGACAAGAATCTAAAGAAAAGATATGCCGTGTTCAATCATGATGGGAGCTTAGCTGAACTGAAAGGCTTCGAGGTAAAGCGCAGGGGAGAGTTAAAATTGATTAAAATCTTCCAGACGCAGATCTTCAAGTTTTTCTTGGAAGGCACTAACTTGACGGAGACGTACGGTGCAGTCGCCAGAGTCGCTAACCGATGGCTTGATGTTCTACATTCACACGGTGCCACGCTCGCTGATGAAGAGCTCATTGATCTGATCTGCGAGAACAAGAGCATGGCTAAGACGCTTGAAGAGTATGGAGCACAGAAGTCGACTTCCATTACGACTGCCAAACGATTAGCAGACTTCCTCGGAGAGCAAATGATCAAGGACAAAGGCCTCAATTGCAAATACATCATCTCGTGCAAGCCAAAAAATACACCCGTCACAGAGCGCGCTCTCCCGGTTGCCATTTTTTCTGCGGAGGACAGTGTTAAAAAATACTTCCTTCGCAAGTGGCTGAAGGATGATCCTGGGGACATGGACCCCAGAAACGTCATTGACTGGGACTATTATCTCGAACGGCTGGGATCAGTCATCCAGAAGCTTATCACGATTCCTGCTGCGCTGCAGAAAGTTCGGAATCCAGTGCCAAGGGTAGCACATCCAGAATGGTTGCAGCGCCGGCTCAATGTCAAGGACGACAAGTTTAAACAGAAGAAGGTGACCGACTTGTTCGAAAAGCGAGCACTGGGCCAGTTACCGCTCAATATCCTTGACCATCGATTACCTGGGTCTGGTGACATTGAAGACGTGCTATCGTCGCAGTTGAAGTCCAAGGTTCCTGAGCCTACCAAGACGGTGCAAAAGAGAAAAGCTCCCGATGCTTTGAAAGCACCCATGGATCCCTTTGCAGCTTTGCCTCCCAAGATGCCATCGATCCAGGAGGATTACTCATCGTGGCTACAGTATCAGAAGCAGAAATGGAGAATTCAGAAACAGGCTCGAACCCGTCGTCGGCAACTTTTTGGAGAGCGACCAGCTGCCGCTTCCGATGCACTGAGCAGCTTCTTCAGAAACCAGGCCGAGCTTCTTTTTGTGAATACATGGCAAGTCCTTCAACTACGCGAAACAGACTCACCTGGTGAAGTCAGAGCGTTTGTACTTATTGGCAAGAAGGTACATGCCCTCGCGGTCCGTGTGCCTCGCCAACTTTTCTTGAATCTGAAAGGTCAGCATCTGCCTGATGTCGAGATCTCTGGTTGCGAAGTTGAGAAAGTCAATCACACATTGCCCAATGGCCATCCATCTGTTCATTTGTTCAAGCTCACTCTGTCCGAAGTGTCATACATTCAAGAGTCGGAGAATGTGTCATTGCTTTGCAACCACCCTAGTGTCGAAGGCGTATACGAGAAGCAAGTCCCACTGAGTATCCGGGCATTGCTCAAGTTGGGAAGCCTATGCTCGTTTGACGAAACCCAAAAAGGAGTCCTTGGAAAAGGTTTGGAGCAAGGCTTCGATCTGTCCGCTCTGCTGAGAAGCTCATCTAAGGACCCGTACCTCTCAGATCCGTCTGAGCTAGGCTATTTGTTCCTCTATCATGTTGTAGCTGGTGAGAAGCAAGTATTTGCTCTCTTCTCGTCCGAGCGGGCAGAGGCGCAGATTGTGATCCTCAACCGGAAGCGGGAGGCCCAAAGTCTTCCGAATGTTGATAAGATCTATTCGGAACAGCTTCTGCGCAAGACGGAGGAGGGTGATGACCCAACCTGGCAAGCCACCTTTCAATATCAAGATAAAGTTCATTTCAAGACAAGTCAAGTCACCACAAAACGCAAGACTCACCTCGAAGTGGGCGATCTAGTCAAAAAGTGGCGTAATGAAGAGACTAAACCAATGCTCTTAGTCATTCAATCTCCGCAGCAGCGTCAACTTGTTCACGACATTACCATTTTAAAAGAATACCCTGTCCTTGCTCTTCGCTCTGAGACGTCTGATTCCGATCTACCTCCACTGGGTTGGCAGGCATACGCAGCTAGGCGGTCAGTCTCGCACTACTTGACGTTGAGTTCCTGGATATCTCATCTGGTTGAGCTGGCAAGGTATGGTGATGTGCCGCTTTGCAACCTTGCTTGTGATGATCCACGATTCCTGGTAGACATTGCGTATGCTCGGCGACTACAACGGAGCAATGTTGTTCTATGGTGGTCTGATAAGCCGATCCCCGACCAAGCGGGTCATGAAAAAGACGATATCCGCGGACCCCTGACTGATATGGTTGAGATGCCCAATATCAACAATGCAGGAGCCTATTCTTCGGTCTGCGTTGATCTAGAGGTGCGGAATCTGGCTATCAATACCATTCTCACATCATCTCTGATCAATGAGCTGGAGGGATCCAACGGCTCAATCAGCTTCAATCCCGCGGCTGATGAGAACAACAACGATGAGAACGGGACAATCGCTTCTGCAAGTGCATTTGCAAATGCTCCGCTGCTTGTTCTCCGCGAGATGGTCAAAGCATGGTGGGCTGAGGCGTGTAGGGGCAACTCACTCGCAGACGTGATGGTGCAGCACCTTGTGCGCTGGGTCGAAAGCCCCACGTCATTTCTGTATGACCGTTCCCTCCACTACTATGTACAGACCATGTCGAAGAAGGCCTTCCAACAATTGATGACTGACTTCAGACGGGTCGGGTCGCAGACTGTCTTTGCCAGCTCGAATCGGCTGCTCCTCCAAACCAGCAAGCAAGATGTCGGCAATGCCTATGCTTATTCTCAGTATATCATCAAAAGCATACAGCAGAAACCACTCTTCCACTTCCTGGATCTGCAAGTGAAAGACTACTGGGACACGCTTATCTGGTATGATGCATATAACTATGGCGGCAAAGGCACGTCGGTGATTGACGAGCACACCGATAGCACGAACCTCGAGACTATCATGCACTGGCAATTGTCGCGATTCTTGCCGCTTCCTTTGCAAGCCGATTTCGATCACTGGGTCGTGGAATACATCGACTTGGTGCATCGGTTGAAGCGGCCACCGATCACCGCCGATGATAGTTCTTCAACACCAAGACCGACCCAGCTGCCCGCCACCTTTACCAGCCTCACTGAAGATCCAACCAGCACAGAAGTCACTACCATCCTCAAAGAACCATTCAGCAAGCCCCTCAAGAAAGAAATCATGGCTCTTATCCGCCGGCAGCGGGACGAGCTGCTTCACCCAGAGCTCGTCAGCGACTGGTCCTTCCCCTCCCTTCCAGGCGGCACTCTTGACACTCCCAACCGCAACCCGGTTCTCGAGCTGGTAAAGGCTCTGATGCAAGTCATGTCGCTATCCAAACCGTTGCAACTGGAGACAAGGCTGCTGAGGAAAGATCTTCTCGCCCTATTCGAGGTGCGGGAATTCTCCTCGGAAGGCCGCTTTGAAAATCCGAGCAAGAGCCTCAAATTTGAACAGTTGAGCTGCGAATCGTGCACCATGACACGGGACCTGGATCTGTGCCGAGATGAGGATGTCCTTCCTTCGCCACCTGGACCAGACGGGGAAGTGGTAGAGAGCAAGGCCTGGAAATGCAAGGCTTGCGGTGCAGAATTCAATCGGGTCGTACTGGAAGAAAAACTGATTGCCAGAATTCAACGGTGGGTGCTGGAGTGGCAGATGCAGGACCTGAAGTGTGTCAAGTGTGGTGTGCTACAGGGTGACACGGCTGTGTTTGGCGAGCATTGTACATGTGGTGGAAAGTGGGAGGGTAGCGTGGATAGGAAAGGTGTCAAGGAACGACTCGGAGTCATGGAGCGTGTTGCCGGGGCGTATGAGTTGAGACTGCTGGAGGCCGTTCTGGATAGTATTCGGGGGATGATGTGACGGATGGATATGTCCCGGATGGTGTTTTCTCGTAATGGTAGGCGGTGGTCGCTTTGCATAGCACGAGGCGTTGGGGTTGTATCACCTTAGCTTTGCATGAAAGGGTGTGTTGACGAGTATAGTGTTGCCTGTACCATTTCGAAAGACTTCCATCAACTCTATGATATGCGAATTTGATGATCTTCTGAATCGTTCATTGGGTGCCACTCTATGGAGGAGGCGAGATCCTGACACTGCTTCAAGAGGTACGGATTGTGTTCTTATTTTTGCACCCTCCTCTCTCGACAGAAAAGGGAGGCATGTAGACAGGACATAGAGTATCAAAGCTACGTACGTGTAGATAAGATTGAATCACTACCCAGCAGATGGAGTAAGTGGAGAGCTGGCTGCCAACTGGGGATAAGGGATAAGGGATTAGAGGATTAGGGGATTGTGTGGGGGCCAGATGCCCTCTGGGCCAAGCTTTGAGGCTCTTGGACAAGTCCGAACTTAATCTGACCGCGGGGCTTGATTTGACTTGTCTGGTCGGGTATGGTCTGGTCTTTTCTCATCTTTTCTCATCTTCTCTTGTCTCATCATTCTCCTTTTCCTTCCCCTTCTCGTCTCTTCCTTTCTCTCATCCTGATGCCTGTCTTCACTGCCCTGAGTAGCGAGACATCCGCTTACTGCTCTGGATGCCATCTTCTCGCGTAACCTAGTGCTTCACAGCTTCTTTGAGCATCTGCCCTTAGTCACTGTTGTCTTCAATGGTTTGGAAACTGTGACTAGATAGGCGTCATTCGCTGTTCTCACCTTGACCCGTCTTCTGTAGCTTTACTGCCATCCCTTCTGAATATTCGCGTCGTCAGCCAGGTCGTCAGCGGTTCATCAAAGCACTCTGATCAGCTTCAGCGCAATCTCGCACCGCTCCTCCTTCCATCTCTTCTCCTGTCACACCATTCACTGCAGTCACCGGGCCTGAGGCTACTCCTTCTCCTGACGTCCTGCAATCATGGATGCCTCGGGCAACGTTCCGGGCGCCTCAGCCATCCAACAGCAGCAGCTAGCATCCATGATCCGACCAGAACAGGTCAAAAAACTACCGCATCTCAACGACGAGAAGAAGCAGCAGCACGAAGTAATCATCCAACGGCTATGGACAGCCCTGCGTGGAAATCCTCAGGGAAGTCCAGAATACCAGAAGGCGATTGCTAGCCTGGCTCAGGTGTCGACGAGCCTGATGGCCGGCATGAAGAGGTATAATGCACAGCAGCTACAACAAAGGCAACATCATGAAGCGGTAATAGCACAACAAGCTGGCCCATCGAATGAAGCGGAAGGGAACCGGCCTGCTGGACTGGGCCTCCAGCCCAATCAGATCATGCAGCATATTCAGGCAAGGGTCAACAACTATCCGTTTTCGCTCCCGCCCACCATGGCTGAGGGTTCGCCGCAAGCAGAAACCTGGTTAAGAGAAGCTCGGAACAGACTGGCTCAGGCCATGCAGAGATCTGAACATGCGCAGAAGAGGAAAGCAGATATCCAAGCAAGCGCACAAGCAAGAGCTCAGAGTGGCAATCCGCTTGCTCCACAAGAACAAGAGGCTCTGCGTACCAAGCTCATGCAGTGTAACAAGGTGCTGGCAGAGAGTAACAGCTTTATGGAGAAATTTAAAGAACAACAAAATCAGTTCCGCATAAGCGCACAACAGCAAAGATATGAGGCGCAGAATCCGGTGAACACCGCACCAAGTGACAACGCCAACCAAGCCGAGCCAAGCATGCCAACTGGGCAAGCTTCGTCGCAAGGAGGGCCACAAGCACTTTCGATCAGTTCTGCGGTGTCTGCAGCGCGTGATCGAGCCACCAACGCTGCTGCCAACCAAACAGGTTCTATAAGCCCTACAAATTCGCAACCACAACCCTCACAGACAGCATCCGGTCAGCAACCGCAACCACAATCAACTCCACAGTCAGCAATGACACCATCCCAGCAGAACGGGGCTCCGATGCCCTTTTCTGCCCAGTCTGCTCTGCAGCACTCTAACTCCAACTATGGACAAAGCCAACCGCAATCTGCCACTCATGCTCACCCACCTCAGAATGTCGGCTTCATGAATCCTGGCAAGAAAGAAGAACGCCTCAACATTCCCAAGAACCTCAATGTTACCGCACCTCGGCCAGTACCGATGCCCCCTGCCCGGCCAACCTTGAACGGTGGACCAGGTGTCGGCATGCCAGGCCAGCTGGGTGAACCTGCTATTCCGACGATGCCTGGCTATGTTCTCGAAACCAGCGAAGATGGGCGGGTCCTATCAAGGAAGAAACTAAATGAGCTCGCGCACGAGGTCTGTGGTCCGGGAGAAGAAGATATGCTTACTCCTGAGGCTGAAGACGTAAGCCAGGCCCTTTCATGGCGCACTCGTCGGTTCCCTCTGGGTTCCCCTGGCCCACAAAACTAACACACTTTCTCTCATAGATCATGCTCAACGTAGCGGATGATTTTGTCGACGACCTCATCAGCACCGCCTGTAAAGTGGCCAAACTCCGCGGCGCTTCCTCCCTCGAAATCCGCGATATCCAACTCGTTCTCGAGCGTCAATGGAATATCCGTGTCCCCGGCTTCAGCAGTGATGAGATCAGGACGGTGCGTAGACAGGGCGGCACGGTCGCGTGGCAGCAGAAGACTATGGCGGTCCAGGNNNGGGGGTCGCGGGGAGGGGTGGGGATAAATGAGTGAGCTTTTTCAGGGGTGGCGAGTCGAGGCGAAGATTGGTTTGGGCTGGAGTTGGAGTTGCAGTTGTTGGTGCTTTTGGTGCGTGCTTTTGAGATATACTCCATCCTTGAACCACCGCGATCACTTGGGGAGCCGATGCACGATATTGGCGCCAGGCGACGGGGTTTCTATTCGCGGCATTGGCGTTTGCATGCTCTGCTGTCCAACGCAGCAAGACCCGCTGGCTACTGTATTGCTTACATACATCACCTACGAGCCCCTCTCTCTCGATCGAGCAGACCGCGTGCTCCGCTGTAAGCTCAGGCTTCTTCATAGCTGGACAGCGAAAATCAAACTAGCCAGACAGCCAAATATTCAATATTCACATCGCATCCACGAACCACCCCCATCCATCCCCATCCTAAGTCCATCTTGCTTCATCTCCTGCCTACCAAAAAAGCATACGTTACCCAATACAACGTCCTACCTTAAAAACCCTTCTCTCCGCCGCTTACAGTACCTGTCCCCCTGTCCCTGGGCTCCTGGCCTGTTAAATGTCTTTCCGTAGTAACATTGTATGTACGCTGTGATAGCACAGCCAGCCAGCCAGTCAGTCAGTCATCTAATTCTAAATCCAGCGGGAGGATGTTTGTGCTAGACTTAAATCACATACTTTACCCTGTAATCGCAGATCGGGAATAGTAATAATGGAGGCAGGATGGGAAGGATAGGGGGGATGCACTGTATTTGGGCTAGGCAGGCAGGTCGGTAGGTGGAGAGATGGATGGATGTATGTACTGACTTGGATAGGTAGATGGTTGGATGTAGAGACTTTGGATTTGGAGATAGAGACTTGACTGCTCGGCTCTGCTGTGCTGTGGTCTGCTGTGCTGTGCTATGGTCGAAAGAATGTATTACCTTTTGCGCCTGATAAAAATTATTTATGGGGCGTGTATTGCATTGTATAGTATGATCGTATATCCCCCTGCTCCCATTCGACAGACCCAATCCGAAGAGTCTATTCCCACCGCTGATTCTCCTTCTCCTTCTCCTTCTCCTTCTCCTTCTCCTTCTCCTTCTCCTTCTCCTTCTCCTTCTCCTTCTCCTTCTGTTTGTGCTCCTCCTTCCTATGCTCAAGCTTATCATTGTCCCTGCCCGCCGTCTCCTCCGCCGCCCTCTCGGGTTCACTGCCCGAAGATTCCGCCGTGTTGGACGAACCATCCCCTCCCTCCTCTCCGTGCGCATCAGCGAGCCCAAGCCCAAGCCCCTCTCTGCCATGATCGACGCTTTTCTCACTCCTCTCATCACCAATATTGGTCATCACGCCCAGCGGACTTGATCCCCGCGCCACTACGCCTGTCCCTCCCTCCCCTGCACCACCTACGACGAGACCAACACGTTCCTCAATGCCTCTCCGAAAAACCCGTCCACTGACCCCCACACTCCCACCACTACTGGTCCTCCTTCTGTCCCCTACACCACTAATCGCCCGGCCCGCGGGGTTAGGACTAACGCTCTGACTCTGACTCCCAACCCCCCTCCAATACCACCCGCCTTTTCCTTCCTTCGCACACTGATTAATCCAAATCGGATCCTCCTCCTCGACCAGGACGCTGCTATTCCGACTCCCGCTACTCCCTGCCCCGCTCGAAATCGGGCGCCTACCACGTGGGCTTCCTGATGCCGCGCGGGGCGGGACGGGGCTTGCCGATGGACTCAGCCCGCGCTCGAAGCGAATGTTGGCGTTGACGAAATGGAGAGGAGGTTCTTCTGTGGTTGAAGCTTGGACTGCGATGTCCTCGTCTGGTCTCACTACGTCGGCCTCCTGTTGCTGCAGTCGCTGCAGTCGTTTCAGCTGCTCTAATCGTTCGAGCGCAGCGCTCGCGATCGGCTGGCCGGGCACAGTGAGCATTTCTGTCGCGCCGAGCAAGCTATCCACGATGAAATTTCCGTGGCCTTGCTCGAGATCTGTATCGTCGTCGCCATCTAGGAGCTGTTGATCTGCAGTCTTGGTCATGAAAGTGGTGATGTCCCCCGTCCATTTTCGGATCAGGTATCTCTTGCATTTACTCCATCGACTTAGGTTGTCTGGGCCTGCCGTTTCGGCGTTTGCTTGTCCGGCTTTGATGGTCCGTTCCGGTCGCGTCCAGCGCTTGATCAGCCACCATTTCCACCTGTCTAGCCGGGTGCGAGGGACGATGTAATCACGGGGGCCGACGCGGGACCAGAGTGTGGGGTAATTTACGGCGAGATCGTGGAAGAAGGACTCATAGATCCCTCGTTGGTATGGGGTTTGGCGTTGCCGTGCTAGGATGTGCTTCGTGATATACCATGCTGCCAGCACGAGGAGCATAAAGGGAACCGAGACGACGAAGTACCATTTTATGCTTGGGTCGTTGGCGAAGGTGTTGACGTTCATGCCAAAGAAGCCAACCATAAAGGTCAACGGTAGAAAGATGAATGTTATCCAAGACAGGCGCCATGTACTTGTGTCGATCTGAAGAGAGAGACGGCTATCGCGGATAGAGACGGATTGGTAGAGGAGAGAGATAAGGGCTTGGGTGGGCTTGACGAGGTCTTCTTCCACGGTGGTGGCAATGCGCTCGAAGTCATTCGGGATTTCTTCAAGCCAGTCGTCGTCGTTAAAGACGCTGAGAACGTCGACAGCGGTATTATTATTGTTATTAGAATTACTGGTGTTTGATGGCACGACAAGGTCAGCGACGAGTTCGCGCAGACGGACGCGCATATCTCGAACAACCGACATGTGCGCTGTGGTCAGCTTTTCGATCCGCAGCCACAAGCTAGAATTCCTCCATAGTTCAGGAGCACGGGTTTCGTCGGCTGGCTGCTCGTAGATTTTATCCTCGAGAATAGAGACATGTGTTTGGCATTTGTCCAGCAAGGTTTCCCACCTGGCTACGAGAGCTTTGAATACGTCGTCTAAAATCATGCGTGCACATTGTCGGCCTAGAAGATCATCATTCCCGACGATGTCTCGTGCTTCATATGCAAGATAAAAGGGCAATCGGCGCCAGTGAGTCTCCCACTCCGACCTGGCGGGTATCAGACAGTCTTCGAAGGAGCCAGACTTCGAGTTCTCGAAGATGATGATGGCATTTTCATTGTCTAGTGAGGACAGTTGTGGAAGATATTCCTTCTGCTTTTTGGCTAAAGCATGGCCATCCGACTCGGCCTTATAAGGATTGGAAATGCCATTGGCCCCATCGAAGGGGGGAGTGGGAGGATCCTCTTTGTGCTGAACATAACAAGCGAGACGTTGAATATACACATCGTAGCCGTACGCAGGATTTTCTGAAAGGTCAGCACTTAGGTCAGGGAAGACAAGGCAGAAGAAAAGAAAAAGTGCTGCATCGTTCAGGGCTTGAAATGGAAGTAGAAGCCGTGGGCATGCAGAAAGAAACCGGCAGAAAGTAAAATAGCGAGAAGTATTACGATTCAGGGATCTCACCTTCTTCATCATAATCATTCAATTCCATCAACTTTTCATCAGCCGGCCGCCCTTCAGTCAATGGGTCGTCGACCTTGTATTCCTTCAAGTACTCGAATCCAAACGAGGTTTTGCTTACGCCGCGCCATGGATCGTGCTGGACTCGCCAGGATTTCGCGTTGGGAAAGGGTTTCCCTCCTCGGGTGTCCGGTTTAGTGAATTTGACGTATTTCCCAAAGGTGGAGCCCACCAAGTCATCTCTGCCATCTATGTTGAATTTTCGCAAGAGAAATTTGGTTGCCCATGGAGCATTCTGCACATGTAGCAGGCGCAAGTTGGCGTCTGCACCTCGACGGGGGTCCCTGTAGAGCTTTCGTAGGCCATCGAGAGAATCGAGCTCCTGAGCCACGACTTTTCGCTTTCGGTTTTGAGACTGGTCTTTGATCAGGATTAGTGGTGTCACATCAGCGACCAGCAGTGAAACATACCCGCCCTTATAAAATCGACTACCAAAACTCGCCCGCATTTTGGATCAAGTTGTGAGTATTCCTTGTGCCATGGTAGAGCTGGAGATTGTGGGCGTGGGTTGGGATGACGTTCACGCTGCCATGCTGCTGACCGGCACCGTCAGTGAGGCTCTGTAAGCTGGTGGTCGTTTGTCACTTACACCGATATCTATTCCCGTGCTGGGTCTCAAGGGGGTGCAATCGTACGTGGGCTGGGAAAGTGTCGACAAAGGCGGCTGCTTCTGGTGATGCTCTTGGGGACCGACGACCTAAAACCGTGGTGCCCCTCAGCCAACGATGATGCTTGGTTTACGGGAATTTCACCATGGGATATCCATGGGATATCCATCGAGCACCATCAAACTTACCTCTACGCGCATCAGCTTCTACAGGATTGGATCTTGTTCGTGGATTCGACGGCCTGAGAGGCTCTCCAGACGTATTCATCATCCGAGTCAGTCAAACAATGCAGAGAAAAGGACTCTATCGGGTGAGGTCTGGGGACAGCGCTCTGCAGGATCTTTAAGTTCCAGGCGCGGTTGAATCGCTCAGACAAGTCATTAAATCATTCATATCGCTTCTGTTGGTGTGCCCCGGATGATCGGTGTCAGCAGAGCCGCTGCTCGACAAGTCATCTGCCTTGTGGTCATCTGCTGGGGCATCTCCACTCTTTGAAGTCATGACTCTCATAATAAACCACAAGGGTGTGCCTGGTCAGTGGCGGTGCAGAGGCTGCCTAAAGTCAAACCGGTACATCAAGTAGAGGAACATGAGCCCCCAATACTACTGTACCAAATGAGGCTCTGTTGAAATGCTTGTTAAGCACGATGCTGCCCTGCTGTTCTGATGCAAGAAACGAAAAAAGAAGAAGGAGAAGAAGAAGAGGAAGGTGATGATGGGCACATCGGGCTCTTTTTTCAAGCAGCATCAGCTCCACCGCCACTCCTCCTTCTCCAGCATCTCAATTAGCCTCCGTATTTCTCTTCCAATATGGAAGACAGATTAAGATTTTTCCGCTTGTCCAGCCGCAAAATCATTGCGACCATGTACTGTGTCTTACCACTGATCTAGATTACATTCCTTCGAAATCGCCTCCCGCATCGTCCTCATCCATTTCGCCATCCACGATCTCCTTGGCCAGCTCTCGCTCTCGCTCACGTGCCTCTTGTGCATTCTTGAGCTCCAAGCGATGTTGATTCATAGGGAACCTCATTGCCTGTAGAATGGTTAGTAATTGATATGTAGATGGCGCAACATGCTGGACAAACCTTCACGCTCTCATCATGCAAAGCCAAGCAAGCTCGGATCCTATCATGGAACGCGTCCCCAGGCTCTCTGGTGGCATAGACATCGCCCACGTCCTTGCTCTTCATGTATCCATCCTCGTGATCAAGCGTAGCCTCAATCACATCATCTCGGATTGCCTTCCCAACAATGTACTCCGCGGATTCCTCGCTTTTGAGACCTAATCTCAGCACAATGTCTCGTAGTCGAATTCGCGAATACGACAAAGACATAGTTCGAATACCAGTCTTGATGACATTCTGTCTCAAACGTAGGATCAAAGTGTAAGTGCCATCACGACGGAAGGCTGCATTATGCTTTTGCACCAGACTATTGAAATTATCCAATCCACCGGCATTGACTGCTTGCACAATTTGAAGATACGGCTGCATCGCACGTTCCAGGCTAGGTTGTCGGAAAATTGCTCGATCAGGTATATCACCCATTAACAGCTCGACAACCACCAGAAGCTTGGTAGACGCTTGGTAGAATCCGCTGGCGGTATATGATGAGGGCGACTTGCGCGTTGCCGAAATGAGGTGATCATGCGCTTCAGAATAATTGAGTTGGATAGCACGGATACGTCCAAGATAGTACAGAAATCTTGCGATCTGGTTGTTCGATGCTGCAGGTGGAAAGCTGGTGTGATTAATAAGTAGATCGGCCTGCGAGATATGGGAGGTCGAGAGATAATTACGGAGGAGCAGCGTGGTGACGGTAGCTTGAATATCTTGGTCTTTCCTAAGGGTAGCGGTTCGCAGCGCTGCAAGCAAGTTCTGACGGATCGAGATGACAGCAGACACAGGCGACGGCGGTAGAGGAGCAGTATGTTCATAGAAGAGAGAATAATAGAAGTAGACTCGAGCGGCGAGCGAATCGAGTGTTCTTCGATTCAGCGTTCGAATGTGCTCAACCAAGCGATCAGAGAACTCGGTACCTTTGCCGAATGCCTCTTGGTCGTAAAGAAGAACCTGACAAAGGATGGAGAGGTAGACGTCAACCTCCGGGAGAACTTCTTTTGGGGTCGCAGCGTTTTTCGTTGAGGGCTTTGGGTCCACTTCCATCTCGCTGGAGCCATCATTGCTGGATCTGTATTCTTTGCCGAGGATATCTAGAAAACCCTTCGCGGCGGGACTTGAAGACGGATATGTGTCAGAAATAACCTGAGCAAGCACATCGGCCGAGATGTGCTTGCGAATAGAAGAGATCGAACGAAGTACCCGAAGCGTGAACCTAGGGTCAAACTGTGATACGGCTCTTTCGAGAAGACCGAAGTTGGCTTTGATAGCTGCATGCATGTCAGTGCGAAGGCTGCAAGGCTGTTTCTTTGACTGGGAGCGCGTACTATCAACCGCCTTGGCCTTGGGATCAACGACATCATCTTTAGCCTGGCTTTCTGAATCATCTATGCCATTCATCGCGACATCATTCCCGTCGTCTTTAGTGGGGCTGGCAGTCAGCTTGGACGCCTTTGGGGGCGGTACAACAACGGTCATTTCTTCGTCACCATCCTTATCTTTCCCAGACTTCTTGACTCCTGTAACAGCTGCTGGCTGGTCGTCAACCTTCGAACCGTCCGCGCCGTCCGCGCCGCCCACACCGTTCTCGGTCGGGTCAGAGCCGTTCAAGTGAGGTTGATCGCCGTTCGTGTCTTTTGCACCGGAGGTTATACCTTTTTTGTTGGAAAAGGATTTACTTCGGGATGAGGTTGACCTTGTAGGACGAGGTTTGTCCCTATTCGAGCTGGAGCTATTGGATCTTGCTTTTTCTCCGTTGGTGGTTGGAATCGAATCGGGTTTGTTTGAGCGCAAAGAACGCCTTTCAGGCATGTTTTGAAATTGGGCCCAATCTCAACCGATTGTCCGCAATGGATTTGGACCGCACTTGAGCAGGGATTCGAAGCTTGATGCTTCTGCTAGATAATTACAGCGGTGGTGGGTCGATGGCTTGCTTTTGCTTGCTAGATAGAGGTTTATGATGATGAGGTGATGCCAAAGTTCAGGGTCAGATGGTGTCAGCTATCCTTCGGAGAAAGGAGCGAAGGCGTCAGGTCCGCAGGCGCGTTACAGTAATCAGCTGCTTGGCATTTTCCCGTGTGACGCTACCAATTTCAGTGTTCACAGCTTACAACTTGAATTGAATAGCTATGGAATCACATCTTCCTAGCGATATTGCCACATCACGTAGCAAGAGCTGCTTTGACACTGGTGCCTTCCAATACGCGATGAGCAAGGGCAACGTAGCTCACCACGAGACGTCCCAAATGAATAGTTTCAGCTAATTCTGACCCCATCTTGCGAGCATGAGCGTGATCTGCCTGACAATATGACTCTTCTCCTCAATCATCTAGAGCAGATATCTGGCTCAGCTAGGAGCATTGGGGAACTGCAGTAGGCCTATTTGGGTCATTTGGAAAACCAAACTCACGATGCTCTAGGTTTCCTCCCCCCAAGATTTTCACAAATGCACTCCTTGGAAACCATGAAATAACTACTCTAATACGCGACACCGAGCCTCATGAAAGAGCGCTCTTCTCGGTCGACCCATATGCGAAGAATTTGCCTGCCCAGCGGCGGTCTCATCGTAGAACTACGGCATTCTCCTCGGATGAAAAGGGAGGGCATGCTTTGTTCAATGCGGGTCCGAGAAAACAATCTGCTGTAGCAAGAGTCCTTGGGTCACACATGTTGCAAGAAATCGAGGCTACAAGAGGGCATGCCTCAAACCAGAAATCAGGGCGCTCGGGAGGTGTCAATGTGGAAGTGTTGCTGAAGGGTGCAGAAAAGCTTTGTGCCGTGTAGTAAGCCATACCTAGATCGTTATCGAAGAAAACCACTGAGCACAGAAATAGTCCTGTCGTGGGTGCGCCAGAGAGGATTACGTCTTTGCGCAGTCGTTTCAAGCAAGTAGCAGAAAGTGTGGCAGTGTATGAGGCCCGGGTAGCCAGCCAAACAGCTCAACTCAGTCGCATGAACAAGAGTCTCGACAGCAGTCAAGATCACGAAGATGAGCATCAAGACGAAGACGCAGACGCGATTGCTTCTGCCAATTCTCAGCACGGAGCTGCCCCGGTCACAGACGAAGAGTTGCGAACAGAAGAGCAAGCGATTAGGGAACTAGAACAAAAGAAGCGTGAACTGGAGGAACGGGTGGCAAGCATGGAGAAGGACCTGGGTGGTCTTCTACGCTGAGCCATGGGGAGATCGTGCGAGTTGGCATGTCTCGCGTTGCAGGAATAGCGTATTAGACGCTCACCGCTTCCTCCAGATCCAAGCATATGGCAGCCAGAACTTCGGATGACGACTTCGAGTCGCGAGAAGGCGATACCCACGGAATCGGTTTGCAATAGCTTTTCATTGGCAGTCTGTGAGAAATTGCCGAATATGGAGCTTGGTAAGTCTTAATTCTCGAATGCCTTCCAGGGTAGCATCTTCTCATGCGCGCTGTTGACCACGACTAGCATTCCAGTGCGTCAAAGAGATGCTCAGCCTCCACTTGCTTAGTGGTAGAGACTGTTTGGCCACTAGATACCCATTATAGAAGGTGTGCGTTGCTTTGTTCACTGAAGATCTTGTGGTGAATTTCAACCCGATAAAGCATCAATCTTCAAAATGAGCATCGTTGGCAAAGAGCTTCCTAAGACGAGCGGACCGAAGACGATGAGATCTGCATGTCTACGCTCAACATGGGTTCCTAGCTCTTGAGTAGGCATTTAAAGAGCAAATTTCATCACAACTGAGAAGACATTGCAAGATGATTCCTACGGCACTACGTCGATGATAGATATTCATAAATTTCACCAGAAAAAGCGCTACTTGCTCAAGCAAGACGCGGTTTTTGTTCCAGAAGGGATAAAATAAGACAGAGAGGTGACTGTACTGCTGAAATTCCACAAAACAGACTCGGTTTCCGTCTACATTGAAAAGCCTCAATCACCGGTCTCTTTCCGCTGAAGAAATGATAGCCCCGACTGAAAATGGTGTCTAGGCACGTTTTGGGTTGTAGCGGCGTTTGTACACGTTATCAACTCCATCAAGGTATCACGAACCAGACGCCAATGTGCTTATCTCTCCATGAGGCTGAAACTTAGCTCTACCATTTTCTGCTTCACAAAAAGCGAGACCCTGCAACATATTCCAACTGTCAAATAATATTGCCTCACAAAATAGTGGTTGCACAGGAGAGTTGCGCTTACCTCAATGTAGTTGGCTGGAGTCTGCTGGCCTATCTAATTGAGTCGGGCTTCAAGATCAAGCACTTGATTTATATTCTGCGTATAGCCCACCACAACAGCGAGAACATCGAGTTGGCCGAACCGGATCCCTAAGGAAAGTGTGATGCGTTTACCATGAAGCTTCCATGGTGGCGTCGTCAACAGCAAGCCTGCCAACCACCAAAAGAGACTCGCTGTATACATATTGCCGCCAAAACGAGCCAAGAGCAAGCCAGGCTCAACCATTTGTACAAAACCGTTTCTCAAGCCGCCCTTCAGATCCCGATAGTGCAGCCTTGCAAATGATTTTGCAACCAATTTGCGGTTTGGCGCGTGGAAGCAGACGTAGTCAAGCGCTTGTAACGGCGAAGTTCCGTTTTGGGCGCCTTCCAGCGAGTGGTCGTGTGAGATGACATGAGTGCCGTTGGGCCAAATGGCGTGCGGCCCAGCAAGAGAATCCTAGTTCAGAGATACAGTCGTACGCAGAGCCTGAATCAGTCGATATGCCTGGGCTGCATGGCTGCTGTACCTTGCATAGCAACCATCAAGAGCTTTGAGGTACCATTCGATTGATAGTTGGCATCTACTATGGGATATTCTACCTTGAAGTTCGGCTTATAGAAGTCATATGCACGCTGCGTGTACGACCCACGGCGACACATTCTAACACAATGGGCGCCTTGTGACCAATCCACAGCGCCACTGCATCTGCGCCTCCTGCGGGACGGGCAGACCCTTGAATATAGACCGCGGTGTCGCCGGCGACCACGAGGGCATCTTTACTATCTCAGCTACTTGACTCGACCCGTTGATGGCATTGGAGAAGGCATTCGTTCCGCCATAACTGGCATGGATGGCCTCAATGCCTTCAACATGCAAATTCGCGCAGTCCTCGAAACGCTGCATAAGAACGCACTTGACCGATTTCAAGTTTGTCGAAGAGTGTCTTCAATGATCGCAGCCCATAAGCACAGTGACATATCTCACCTGTGGCAGGCCGACAGCCAATACTACTCAGAGACCGCATTTGACCTTCACAGCAGAGTACTTCCACCATTTGATTCGGACGCGCATGCCTGCACGGTCTCCCTCCTTCTCGGTTTGTTTTTCTGAAACCAGGCACATTCGATTACACGCCGTGTCAAATGGGTATGTTCTACCGCAATGAGCGGCATAGGCCGTATCTATCGTCTTCGGGCTACCATTCCTACGAGGCATGCATGAGATATCTGAGGCTACGGCGGTTGATAACTCTCCACTCCACCGATACCGAGCACTGCTCTGTCAAGCTTAGGACGGCTTGAGTGCCACCTACGTCGGCAGTACCGGGATGAGACAGCTAAGGTGCAAATTCTAGAGGTCAGCATCGTAGGGCAGTTTGTCACGGCTTCCGTTGCCTTGCACATCTGGACATTTAATAAACATATAGTTGGAGTGGAATGACAAGTTTCACGATACTCGTGGGATCGAAAGGTACATTGGCATGAGTGAACATCAGCTGTGGACAGGTCTGCGCCTCATCAGGAGAGCTTCACTCCTTTGGTGCCGTCAGAGAAATAGCAGCTACGCAGTTGGGGGAGTTTGGCGGAAAGCCGACTTGGTCGTTTGTGACTGAGCATCAGAAGGGAACCCAGTGAAAGATTCGAACCTGGCGAACCATAAGAAGATCCGATGTCATCGTGTTCTATTTCTGGCATCGCTATGAGAGTGGCTCTCTCTTTTTCTCCATAGCGCTGCAGGATTTTCGCTGCACCACATAATCAAACCATATTCCTTTGGCAACGCACCATGTTCAAACTGGCTGAATTCGGCTTGAAGTTGGGATTCTCAGATCATGTATTGACATAGCTTGTCGCTCCAGGTCTTTGGTACAGCCCGGTAGGTTCAGATTCTGGAAGAGCTCACATATTTTGGGGCATCATGCTTGTTTTCTGGAGAATGGTCCGCAATTTTCCTGAGTTGGTTGTCGATCCGAGAAGACAACGTTCGATATCTCAATCACTATGGTTGTACAGAGAAGAAGTCAATCGGTTGTAGTACCTTGATGATGCTGGGCTTCATCTATCATTCGCTTGCAGTACACCTTTGGACCGAACAGCACCCATGCCTTTTCCATGCCAATAACGGATGACACCATGAGACCACACGTTCTTTAACATGATCTCAAAAACTCTACCCAGCAGTGTCATCTTTCCAACTTGCTTCTAGCAATGTCCCTCACTGGACGCCTCTATGCAGAAATTGGTACTCAAGCTCGCTGAGTTAGCAAAGTATCTTCGGACCGTAGCAAATAGCAAGCCCAAACGCCAGTCTCCTCGAACTTCAATAACATCTGGTGGAGTATTTATATCACACAGGCCCGGAGTACCGCAGTCGCTAATACGTTCACAGCGATCGGCCTGATCTTGACACTATAAATGCTCTATTTGTCTTATGGTATGCTTGTTGGTTGGTGCTCTGAAGATCAACAATGTTGCGTAGAGTTGTGACTTTGAACTCTATTCTTGGTTTATTCATCTCCCTACTCCTCTCTATATATGAAATTGGTTGCGTTTGAGCTCTTCATCAAATTCTATGAAACTGGCATCGCATTCTCCTTCCGAGAGTCACGCTTACGGTCATTCATCACAGCTGACGACTCCAACATGTGTTACGCAAACGCCAGAAGCCTAAAAACAGCTAAGTTTCCTCCGCACGTTATACTCTCTTGCGTCTACAGATTCCCCAGCAATCAAAATGGGCTTACGTGACAGGATCCAATCTGCCATAACAGGGCTGCCTGCTCCGACTGAATCTGGGTACAGAAGAAGACCTCAAGCCGGGCCCCCAGCCGAAGTATCACGACCAGGTCAGAGACGAGCAAGCTCAGCTACCTCGACGAGTAACCCTAGATTTCGAGCCTCACGATTGGCCATTGAAGGTGACTCCGGTCCCTCGGCTCAATCTAGGTTCCGGTCTGGACAGCCAGCGATACAGAAGAACTCTACGAGTACTTCATCTTCCACAAGCTCCTCACAGCAAAACGGCACAACAGTCTCCGGCGCCAACCTTGCTTCAACTCGGCCTCCACCGAGGACAACTGCAAGCACACCGGTGCTCCCTCTCACGAGGATCTCGAGATCGTACGGCAACAACGACAAGCAAGAATCTTTTTCCCCTAATCCTTCACGCAGGCTTGCACTTGAAGGCTCTGGCTGTACGCCAGACAGTTGCTCCACAGCTGCCTCAAGGATAACGAACCGTGCGAATCTTGCAACCACACCCAAGGCCAAGGAATCGGAAGAAGGAGATCAACTCGCCCCTCTCAGCGAGCGAGAAATAATAGATGTCAGTGATGAAACCAGTCTACCACGTGCTGTGGAGAGTGCTCAGGGTCAGATTCGTGATGGAGTACAGCAACCGGTGGCGCAGCAGGCTACGCGCACAACAATTCCTTCACCACCGATCTCAATGCTACAACAAAAGCCTCCCTTAACGAGGACAGCTTCATCCGGCCGCACCGGCAACCCAAATCCAGCCTCTACGAGCACCAACCCGTCAAAGCTTGGAGCTCCACAGCCCATCTCACAACCGCCTGGGAGAAATCAGCCGCCTGAACGAATGCGAACTGGTAGCTCTGGGCCTCCCTCCATGACCAAAACATCGAATGGTGATACTGGGCAGCCCCAAGCGCTCTATCTTGGTGCCTTCGATATGGCAGATGCAGACCAATCCGCTCAGCAACGCACGCCGACCACTCGTGGTGGACCAACCCAACGCGGCACCCGCAGTCGGTCCAGCGACCTAGGCCAACGCCGCTCCTCCAGCCGCAGCAGCACATCCACTCACCGCACAACGGTGCTAGGTCACGGCTCCTGGTTCCCAAGACCCCTACTGTGCAGAGACGGCAGTTTCAACTCCACTCACAGGCCCTACTACGACTCTTACTGGGACTCCTGGGGCTACCACTACCCCTTCGACGCCCCGCCCTGGTACCCAACCCGCTACGTGCTCCCTCACCTCCAAACCACCTTCACCGAAGTCTCGACCAACTACTTCGAGCACGAATCGCCCGCCACGCCCGATCTCGACACCACCAGAGGCTCCGAGGTCATCAACCGCTACTACAACGGTTGGCGAGATGCGTATACCGAGGCGCTGTCCGGCAGCTGCCACGCCATCTCGGCGGCAGACCGGGCGAGGATCTTGGCGAACAGGGACGGGCTCCGGTCCAGGCAGGATGAGGCGATCCGGAGGCTGACAGATGGGGATCAGGCTGTGGTGCGCGAGACGCTGGATCAGGTCCGGGTTGATCGCCAGATGGCGGTTGACATGCCGCTGGCGCAGTTCAGGTGGGCGACGCCGTGGATTAAGGAGGTGTGGGTGAAGGAGCATGGGGAGATTCCCGGTTAGAGGGGTGCTGGGACTGGCTGGTGCTTTGTTATGTTGTTGGTGGCCGAAGGGTTGATCCGTTTCCTTTGCTTGGGCCTGCCGGCAAGGTGGAGCTCTTAGCTGAAGTCCTCGATTTGAGATCCCACTTAGTGTAAATGCAGAGGCACGGTCTACCATAGCTGGCAATCCCTTTTTCCTTCACAAATCCGTCGGGTCTTTTCACGTGTAATGCACATCCACAAAGACTCGGGTTATGAGCAGCTTCTGGCACGCTTCATCCTGTCCCATGTGCTCGACCTCTCTACACCGATTTCGAAGGTCCATGGAACAAACGACTTTCTGACCGTATGGTTTAAGTTGTTGCAACACGCATGGAAGCCGAGGTCACGAAGAACCAACACACGCAGGTCCTGCGATTGGAAGGCTATGCCTTCGATCTGTATTGCATGCAGAGGACGGACGTGAAAGTATCAGTGACATGTGCAGCCCGGAGACTGATGTGGAGACCCGCTTGAGAGGTATTATATTGTGTAAATATCATGAACTCGACAGAGTTCAATCACAAACAGACACTGTAAGCCTCTCGGTCAAGGCAGCCTTTGACCACTCCGCGTAGCCTGAGCGACCTGGCTTTGAGTCGTATTATCAGCATACCGCTGATAAGCCGGTATATACCGTTCTTTCGAGCTCGTCGTCTCCTGTACACTGCGCCTCTCTTCCACCGCAGCAGCCCATTTCCTCCACCGGGCCCACGTTACCTCGTCTTGGCCGCCTTGCCCGGGTCCAGGCATACCCAGACCGCCCGTCTTGAAGTGGTCAAAGATCCAAAGACGAATCAACCACGGCGCAAGGGCTATATCGACCATTGAAATATTCGCCCCGAGAAAGAACGGGCCCTCCGCATCAGCTTCCGCTGTGAAAGTCTTCAAGTGTGCGAGAAACTCCGCCCTAGCCTCTTCGATCGAGTACGCCGAATGCGGCTGGTGTTGGCAAAAGCGGTAGAACGCCGGGACGATGCGCGAACCCACAAAATCCGTCCAGATGCGGCATCTCGCTCTCTCGTACGGATGCGACGGCAGCAGACGCGGTCCGTGCTGGGCTGTGTCCGCGTACGACTCGTCCAGGTACTCGCATATGATGTTGCTCTCGTACAGTGGCTTTGTCTCTTTGCCGTCCGGACCGGCCGGACAGCCGAGCGTCGGCACCAGGCCGCGAGGATTCAGATCGAGGAACGACTGCGCTTTGTGGTACGGGTTGATCTCGATGTACTGGTAGGGGATCCGCTTCTCTTCCAGCACGATCCAGGCGCGCTGCACGAAGGGGCAGAACCAGCCCGCGTAGAGCTTGAGTGGCTGCGGCGCTGTGTGGACGGCTACGAGAGAGGCGGCTGCGCCGGAGGCTTGAGGGTAGAGCTCCGTGTCCACGGAGCCCATGTTGCTATAAGTTATGGCTTGTGGTTGGATGATGTGCGGAGAAGAACTCTGGAGAAGCTAGGTGCTATGGCTTGGATTCGAGGAGGAATTAGACGGCACAGCGGACTGCAGACACACAATCAGCGTTACTTACTGTTAAACCAAAAGAACTGCAGCTCTAATGGCTGCACTAACATATATTTTGTTTGACACTTGCTGACTTTCTTTTCAGTAGAGACATGGAGCAGAGTGGAAATGACGTAGTTGGTTACTGCATAAGTCTGCAGGTGACCTGATGTGGTTAGATCAGCCATGATTAGTACGATTACTCATTCCAGCTAAATCAATCCATCATCTCTGCGTAGTAGATGGATTTGATGCGAGTGCATGTAGAACAGTTGGACCCGGTCCAATCTGGGAACAGGTAGGTTCTCATTCCTCTGATTATGTCCTCTCTACCTTCGAGAACCAGCTCAAGAGATTGGATAACTCCCCAAATCGAGCCTGCCAGCTATCGCTGATTGCCTTGATCATATCTACGGCGGATTGCTTCCTTCAAGCAGCCTTACGCTCGCGGTGCTACAGATATCGAAAAGACCTCCAAAATGGTTCGATTTGCTGTCTATTGAAGCACGATCACCAGCATTTGCTCTCTGGGGTACCTCATGGTCCAAGCTGTTCTAGTGGGTATACTCTAGCTCGAAAAAAGAGCTCTTCAACTTTGACTTCGCAGAGCCCCTTGGGCATACGCACAAACTTAGCATCCATGATGATTCCCCCATATCTATCATTCTCCAAGGAGACGCCGCTGCAGGCTCCAATACTCTTTTCCCTGCTCGATATCGCGCAGCCACTCGCCAACCGTATCCGTGTTGGAACGAGAGTCGCAAAGCTGAACCGCTACCTCAAAATCAGCTGACCTTTCAGAGGTCCTATACACGTCAACCCAGTATGGTTCTAGTCTTCTCATCTCGGCCAAGAACAGATTCCGGAGTTGTGCCTTCTCGAGGGATATTGCCTCCTCCTTTGCAAGCTGGCTGACGATGGACCCATTGTCCATCCGCTTTGGACTATCGTCACCCATTTCATCGATGTACCGTGACACCAGAAACTCTGGCATCTGGCATGCTTTCCAGAGCGGAACAGCAGACACGCCGTCCCAATCCAACAGAGCTGTCAGCTGCCCCTCCTCATCGACGAGCACATTGTAGCCTGACATGTCGTAATGGTGCAGCGTGGTGGTCTCTGGTATCACTTGGTCAGGATAGGAATCTTCTCTCGGAAAGAAGTTAGGCAGCTGCTTTTGAATTCTTCTTGCGGTCAAAGAGTATTTGCTTGCGAGAAACTTTTGCCGTTGTTCCAGCACAGGGTTCTTTAGAATGGCAACGGAGTCTGTGAGCACGAAAGCTAGCCGTGCTGCCAACCAGTCATAACTGCAAGCAAACGGCCCGCGATAGATGTCGTAGTGCACTCGTTTGTGCCAGAGGAATGACATCTGCACGATGCGACCGATTCTATACCTTGCGGATGGGCCATTCTTTCCGGCCTCGCCGCTGGAAGACAAGTCAGCATCTCCAACCCCAACAACAGAAGATTCATCTGTGTGAGCATTCTCGGCACGGTGAGGGGTTCGTCCGATGATGTCGCAGTCTGTTTGTTGTGGAGATGCATCTGCCGCTTGATAGAGGTTGCCAATCCCATGGAATTTGCTGCGGAACATTTGGGCCACAATCTCTGCAATCCTTCTGACAAGATCTTCTTTCTGCTTCCGCGTCATATACCTGTATCGATGGCACAAAGGTTGCCCTGGCATCATTTCCATGATTGTCCATGCAAAGCCAAGTTCATTCTCATGAGACGGATCGAATGCCACAACGCGAGGAACAGGTGCGTTTGTGTGTTCGCGTACGTAGGTCATTGTGGCCACATCGCTGGACACTTTGAAACCAGGATCCACTGGCAGCGAAACTCGAAAGATGAAAGACCGTTCATCTTTACCACCTCTTGGACATCGGACGAGATAAATCCTGTTGAAAGCACCCTGCATGAAATAGTCGGCAGTACACTCATCGTCTTTGCTGAAATGAAGATGCTGTCTGGCAAGTTTGACGATGACTTGGACATTAGGATCGTGTGTCCATGTTGGTTCCGCTTCATAACACTGATTCAACTCCCATCTAAGGCCCGGTTGAAGGAGCATCGAAGCTGCGACCTTTTTGAGGATATGCGGGTGGCTCTCAAGCCTTGCAGATGCCGCAAATGCTTCAGTTGCGCGTCAAAATGTCCTACATCTACGATGTTTTGGGACGTTCAGGTGGAGATCGGTAGCCGTAGATTCAATGTGAAGAAGGTGAGCTAGCAGCTGAGCGCAATCTGAGGAAGCTGTACCAACAGGTAGGTCGCTCTTTGGTCTGGCAATATATTCAATAAGAGAAAAGGACGGAGATGGAGATCGGCGATGGAGATTGGTAGCGGTAGAGTTTTCGTAAGGAGTATGAGGTGTGCGGTGACTGCAATCTCAGAAGAATGTCAGAACGGGCAGTTACCCTTTGTTCCACTATGGTCACAGGGAAGGACTGAAGCGCTGTATCCTAGAATCATAAGCTTCACACGAATGTTAAGACACAATGAAGAAGTCTCGTTAGTGTGAAATGCGGCTTATTGGTGAATTCAGTGAAGCGGGTAGTGCCCCTGGACGGAAGGCTTCTTCCGGCAACAGCAGACGAATACGGTATCTTGTCTTTGAAAAGGATAACCCATCCTCAACATCAAGCCAATGGACCCGGATGTCACATCTAGCCTGCTTGTAAGAGCGGGTGGAGGCGGATCTGGCCGAGTTTAGATTCGTAACATGTGCCATAATGGCTCTATAATTGTCAAATAGCACAAGCTGATATTCTGCCTATGAAATTCCGACACCCAGACTGGCTCACCTTACGGACCACCATAGTTACGAAGTACTTGCACCAGAATTTAGATAATCTCTGCATGTTCAATGACTGGCCACAATGCTTGAGAAAGAGTACTTGTCGGCCAAGTAAACATCCTGAAGATTGAAGGGACAGGGTTTGTATGCGTTCCCCTTTCCCAGCATCCTGGCAAGATCTGCGGCCCTCCGGCCCGTGCCGGCACAGCCAAGCAGCAAATCTCTCCCATTGCCAAGAAGGTAAACAAAGCAGGTCTCCAATTCTGGCTCATCGATGAAAAAGACAAGCTACATCGTCTTGACATCCATACGGGTCAATAACGCTCTATCTATACAATCAGCATTCAAAGATCCGATAAAACTAATGCTTAGTCATGACGGAGATCGATCAGCTGCCAACCGACCTGCAACCCCACCCGAATCCACTTCCGAACCCCCACCATCGAAAAGTCGAACTTCAATCACCGCTCGACCTGACCTATCTTCAGGAAAACATTGCCGCTGCTACAAAGCAAAAACTCGATCTGAACTTTCCACTCGATGCTGCAACCAGGCCTACGACTGGAGAAGGAGATGAAGGAAAGGATCAGGTGCAGAACAGGGCAGAAGGGAAGGAAGACCCGATGCGCGTCCGCGTCGCAACACTCGTCAACCAGTTTCTGAACACGACGTTTGACTATGCAAGCCATTCGATAAGCATCAATGGCAACGATGTCCATACCGCGCTACAAAACCCCTCATCTGCCTTTCCCAGCACGACCACAAGTTCAAACATTATCACCCATCCGACGACTACATCCTCCTCAGCCATATCCAATACACAACCTCAGTCACATCCAGAAGCCGAAAGAGAAGGCGTCCATTTCTCCTACGAAGCATACGATCCTCGTCTCTCCACTAAGCTCGCTTCCTTATACGCCGAGCTGGAAAGGGAGACCTTGGCCGTGAGTCAACTAAGGAGAACGGCGCCTGCTGAGGGGGCGAGAATGGTCGGGGAGGCGCTACTTAGAAGCATCAAAGAGGATGAGGAGAGGAATCACACGGAGAGCTTCAGCGACGGGCAGGGTGCTGAAGGAAGGCTGAAACTTGATCCATTACCGGAAGGATGGAGGGAGGAGACCGCTGAGATGTATGAGCGGGGTTTGGCAGATCTGAGGAGGCTTGCTGGCGGGCTGGGCAGTGCGGGTGCCAGGGATACATCATCATTGCGCAGTCCTGAGGGAGGTAGCTTGACGGAGACAGTGGGGAAAGTGCAGAGAGCTAGGGATGTTACAATGGAATTTGAGTGACTACCTTCATATTCATGATATGAATTCCACTGGGAAGGCGTTTGTGGTGCGCACCTGATACGCCGGTCTGTCTTATGCTCGCTCTCGAGGTTTACACGGTGAGTCGGATCCTGTCCCCTATTAAATCATTTGCGCTTCTTGAGACCGTCAAGTCAGCCCGGGCCGTACTCGATTCATTCAGCTGTGGTTCAGGGGGAGGGCTAGACGACTCGAGTGCAGGCAGATGGTACTAAGTAACATACTCGCCAAGGCCAACAGCTTATACAATTTTACAAACCTTAACTTCAAGTTGGAAAAGAATCCCTTTATCAAAACTATATCGGTCTACCAATACCTCATTGGCCCCACTTGTCATTTTACAACACCTTTTGCATAGCGCGGTAACAAAGGTAGGATTGCAAGTTCTTTTCTTTCCGTGCTACCGAGTCTAGTGATACCAAGGCATCTCGTTCCAGTGTTCCCCTGACTCATTTTTGTTAGTTCTGCACTTGTCCAGCCGCCCAGTGGTTTGTGTCTTCAGCTCTTCGGCAACATTTGCTAAGTAGTTGGTACACCACTAGACACCCCAACCAGCTAGCAGACAGCCACCTTCCCCCTTTTCTGTCCTTGCGAAAAGTAATGTAACAAAAGAAGAAAGGCGTTTTTCTTATGTACCAAGATCATACTTTGAAACTATATGTACTGCACTGGAGATGCCTATCCAACGTCTGCCCTCGAGTACACTCGAAACGCGGCACTGTATCCGCAGCCACCGCCATGTCCAACCACGCCGCCTTCTACATGGACAGATTACTGACTCCGAAGCCAAGGGGAAAGAAATCAACATCCTCCACAGGCTGACCTTATGGAAACGAAGGGTCAACTTTTTTTATCCACATATACTACTCTTCAATTCGTCTATCTTAATTCGACTACGTGTTTCTGGATCCCCTTCACAAGGACTATCAGTCCGCTCGATGGCGTTAAAATTTAACTCTTCAAGTGTTTTAAACATGATGAATGTTTTTCAAAAAGAGTATGGTCTCCATTGATAGATGCCACAATATCCTGCACCGAATCTTGACCACTCCAAATTCCATTTTCACTTTGAGACCTGAGCTCACGTGACTGCAACCTGAGCGATGAATAAGCAGCCCTGAGCTGTAGCTGTGCAAGGCCTGAGCAGCCCTGAGCAGCCCTGAGCAGCCCTGAGCAGCCCTGAGCATGGACTGAACTCTACCCTGAGCTCCCCGTGGGGGCCAGATTCTGGGCCAGTCTCCCAGCTCGGAGCCCAGTTTCGTGCCCTTCAGATTGTTGGGTTCCAATTTCCGGCCTCTATCACTCGCGTACACTTGCCAAAGCAACTGTTTAATACATTAAGATCGAAGAAGAAGAACGAATAAATCAATTAAAGAATTCTAAAACTCGAACTAGAAAAGAAACAGAATTCGGAATCAGATTGATACGTTGAGCAAGATTGATACGAGGACGTATCAATTCGACGGACGTCTCTAGATTGTTACAGAGAAGAAGCCGCTTGACACACGTAAATAGCTTCCGTCTTGCTGTTCCTCAGCTTCTGTTCTTATCTTCTTTAGCTATGACGAATCAATCCGTTGCTCCACAATATCCGCCGTCCGCCCTCACGCATAAACCATGAATCACACGCTCTGAGGCCCATATAATATCAATTGCTGCTGTCTGGCTTTGCCTTCTCCCTCGCTGAACGAGGTGTTTAGACAAGAAGCTGTTCATTGAAGACTGATAATGATATTCGTGATTGTCTTGACAGCAACTGGATCCAACGCCAAGACTTGAGATCTCGTGCTAGTGCGACGCTAGCATTAGTCTGCGCTGGGCCGGTCAACGTAGAAATTGTGAGACGGACGCCAAGACTGATTAGTACAAAGACTCTGTAGAAATACTACGTATATCGTAGTAAATGCGGGGGAAAACTGGAGTAAGGCATCCAATCAAAACAGACCGCGTTTAACCTTGGCAGGTTGACTTCTACAGCACAGCTTGACTTTAGGCAAATAGATAGGCCACCGTTCAGATATATCTAGAAAATCGTGGAGCTTCTTCCGGCGGACTATCTCTTCTTAATTATAGGAAATGTGAGCATGCCGGGCATTATTTACCAACCTCTGAACCACAAGCGGAGAGAGATCCGATTGCTGATACTGAAGAGCTCAGTAACAGATCAACCAGGGGAAAGCTCTAATGATCGTGATCAACCAATACAATACAGCTTCCATATCACGTCGCTAGCCCTTTACAGCAACAAATTCGAGAGCGACATTTTTAACAACAGCGGCATTGGCACTGCGGCATGGGGACTCAACGAGCTACAGAAATTCGTGCGACGGGCCGCAGGGCAGAAACCAGCTGGGTACACCGCGCTGTCGTATGTTTGGGGCGACCCAGCCTGCGTTTGCGACGTAGAGATCGATGGTCAACAGGTGAAAATCCCCAGAAACCTGTTCGAAGCGCTGACGAGTGTGCGTGTTAATACGTCTTCACGGGTCCTTTGGGCAGATGCCCTTTGTATCAACCAGGAAGATGATGTTGAGAAGTCATGGCAAGTCCAAGAAATGGCGACCATCTACCGCCGGGCCCAGAGTGTCATTTCATGGCTGGGTGGTGCCACTGGGCAGACTCGAGTCGCCTACAGCGTCTTTCGAGATCTCCAAGGAAAGGAGGATTGGTCCAATATGTCTTTCCTCAATGCCTTTCAAAGTCGTGCAACATCAGGCGCAGCATTTGAGGAAGAGGTCGCGAGATTGGTGGATGACCCTGAGCGGTGGACTGCCATGCTCGCAATTCTCGATCGTCCTTACTGGACACGGATGTGGATCTTTCCCGAACTGGCTTGTGCCCGGAATCGCTTCTTCCTGTGCGGGGATGAGTTGTTGAAAGACATTGATCGGACTGTGCAGCGCTTGATAGCATCTCCACATCTCGTCGGTAAAGCCGCCCTCGACTTGATGGCTGAAGAGCGGTCTTCGATGATCCTCGCGGCGCGCGGTCTCACGTTCCGCAGCCCAGAGGGACTCGCGATCGATGAGCGGAAAGCACGCCGCCCGCTTCTGGTCAGATTGCTGCGCAATCTCAGCACGCTCGTCGCGTCTGACGAAAGAGACCTGATCTATGCGCTGCTCTCGATCGCTGATGACAGGGTGGTGTTGGAGATCATTCCAGACTATTCGAAGACTGTTGTCGATGTGTTCACTCAGGCAGCCATGGCATTGCTTAAACAGAACCACTTGGAGGTGTTTCTCGATGCGGTCAGCAGTGAGGCATCACAAAGACTCGGCCTTCCGTCGTGGGCTCCAGATTGGCCGGAGTGGAGGGACCTCAAGCTTAACCACGATCTCTATCGAGTGTGCGACTACAAATTCAAACAGCGCTCGACTAACCTCCATTTTAACACGAGGCATGTCACCTTAGACTGCTACATCGTTGACGAAATCATGCTTACGGGTGAGCCATATCGTACAAAACCTCCTATCGCCTCAGCCACTATGCGGGGTTTCAAGCTCTGCGAGTGGCTCGAGTCAATTGAGTCAGCAATCTGGGACCACTCTAGATACATCAAAACGCAAGGCGAGAGCTCGACGGGACGCAAACAGGACATTACTCTCCGACTCCTCTCCGCTGACGCATTGTTTGAACCTCCCGCCCGAAGGATTCCCCGCAATCTGCCCCCAGAGAGCATCAGCGATATCTACCACAAATTACGAACAGCAGACTCCCTGACAGCGCTGCGCGACTATATGGGACAGGCATCAGTGCAGAAAACTTTCACAAATGTAGGTAGCTATTTTTCCGCTGTGCGGCACACACTTTTGAGGAACAATGGTGCGCGACCGTTTCGAACCGTGGGGGGATATTCGTGCCTCTCTGTAGAAGGAGAATGCAAATTTGGCGACTCCGTGGTCATCGTGCCCGGACTCGATATCCCACTGATACTGCGGAAGACGGAACCGGGGCACGTATCTGAGAGTCCGTACTCTTTGGTAGGTGTGGCGTATGTTCATGGGATTATGGACGGTGAGTACTTCTCCCAACGGACTCCACGTCCGGAGAGACAGAGAGTTACCTTATGCTGAGATGGCATGCTGCTAAGATGACATGCATCCATCTAATGATAATGCTTTGACCTGTCATCCGGTTGAGTTGATCTTTCGGCCTGTTGAAGCTCCTCGTAGGTTCAGCATTATAAGCCTTGTAGTTACACACAGGCGGACGGTTTGACGTACCAAACCTTTTGGATCTTACTTCTACCTAGTAAGGATCAAGCTCGGCTGTATCTCACAAGTGACGTTTAGCATTAAGCGTCGTGTTGGTGACTGCGATTACTGATCGTGCTCATCTAATGCTCAGGTAGTGGAGATACTCAAGGTCATGGCTAACCACAAGATCGTTTAAATTGTTGAGGGATTGCGGTGGCCAAAGGGCATTCTAGGCATAGACACAGTATCTGAAGGTCCTTCGGTCTGTCATTGTCCTCTGAGTTCGGATGAAGTATTAATTGCTTTGCTAGAGAATCCATGGCTCTCTCAGAAGGGGACGGTAGCTGCGGGCAAGATATGGGTCGCCAATAATAGCAAGAGCTCAGAAACGGGACTGAGTACGGGTGAAGCGAGACTGAGGCCCCTGAGCAGCACCGAGACAGAAGGTGAGCGAGAGGGTGAGCAGCGGGAGCAGTGGCGGTGCGGCCTGAGCAGAGGCTGAGCCGAAGTCGAGCCGGGTGACTTATTCCTGAGTCAGGCCGTAAAAACGGCCAACCCAACTGGGTGCCAAGGCGTGGTTAAGATTCGGTGCAGGATACCACAACATCCACACCCGAATCTTGACCTCTCCTAATTCCATTTCCACTTCGAGACCTGAGCACACGTGACTGTAACCTGAGCGATGAATAAGCAGCCTTGAGCTGTGGCTGTGCAAGGCTGTTCTGAGCCTGAGCAGCCCTGAGCAGCCCTGAGCATCCCTGAGCATCCCTGAGCATTGACTGAATTCTGTTTTCTTCATGCTAAGCATGCTCTTGAAGCATCATCACCGCATACTCATTCTTCTCGGCACGTTCACAAATCCCACTCCAAGAGTGTGTTATTGGCAATTGCACCGTTTTATTACGTACATGGCATCAGTCATCACATTGACTTGTAACGGCTCGAAATCAAGCCTCCTTCAAACCTTCCAGTCCCTTTCTAAACCTCACTTGACCATCATCATTCTCTGCAAGCACGAATATCTGATTCGCCAAACCCTGTTGCTTCAACTTCTTTTCGACCTTGTCGTCGATAGCCTGAGTGGAGTCTTCCTTATCCAATATCTCATCAACTTCAGCTCGAAGTGTCAAGACTTGAGCATAAGACTGCCACGATTGATCGATTGAATTGATTGTTTTTGCCCATCCACTGGAACCCCCCAGTGTGATGAATGTGAACGCAGTCAAAGCCATATGCAGCAGAAGACCAATTAATACAACGATGAAGCCCGTGGACTTGACTGGCTGGATAGCCTGTTCTGTAAAAGTCATGATCTGAGTGGACTCGTTCTTGAAGAGAGGCATGTACTTATAATACCGGTCTGTGATCAAGGTATGTTGCATTGCTTGCATTGCCAGGGCAGGTGAACCGGTATCTTGTATGATATGCTGAAACAAACCGACACGAGATTCATGTACAGGTTTGAGGCTGTCTCCCATGTAAAGGGATAAAGGAAACCATGCCCGGGGGGATCTTTGCAGGTTGGCGTGGGTAACGAATTGGTTAAGATCGCTTGACACTGGATTGATTGGCACATCGGATTTACTGCGCATGATCTCAGTTCTTTCCGCCTCGAGTTGTCCATAGAGTTCTGCTTCATCGAGTTGCATGATGCCCCGCTCTTCTGTATCAGTTTGATTGCCTGTAGCACCTATCTGTAGAATTCCATCCGACAGTGAGATCGGCTCATCCTTGGATGTTTTCCGCTGTGCCTTCACTTGAACGTTTTTGACGTACGCATACGCATCTGAGCAGTAACTCATGTCGATAACCATGTTCAAATTCTTGATAGGGAATGTGATGTTATCTAGTTTATAACGACCGGTATACTCGACTGATACAGCCTGAGTTGACTCAAGGCGTGTCCAAGGACCGATGCCAGTGGAATTCCAGGCACTACTATCATTAGCAGCGAGATACCAGTCATCAGTTATGACAGTTTCGTTTATCCTGATTACAGAGTAACCACTCTCCTCGTAGGGCAATATAATGTTAGTGACATTGATGAGGAGGTCTGAGTAACCTATGGAGCCTTCATAGTTGAAATATCCGCTATCCATACTGATGTCGGGATCGAACGGCAACCTGGTCCTTTGTGTGTACTCCTTCGTCCAGGTCTGATTCAGTATAGTGTGCACCTTTGTGGTATTGTATGCTGTATCTATCCCGCTCATGAGCCCGAAATTAGTGTTTGCACCACTTCTCAGAGCGTCAATGAGCGGACATGTCATTAAGGTCCAAATTCCGGAGAAACTAGTAGTAGGGATGAGAGAGCAATTGAACGATGTAGAGTGGTTCGCTGTGACCATGGGGGCCACTAGAGTCAATGGCTCGACGTTCCCAGTGAGATAAAGGCCCTCCGTACCAGTCCAAACTAAGCTTATGTTGGTGACCTTAGGCTGAGAACAAATCCATCGAGCGTCGTAAATTGATGCGTTGCCCTCGAAAGAAAGTATCCTGGATCGATGGGTTTCGGTAGATACAGGTAGGAGGGCCCGTATCATCGGGCCGGTATCATCAACTCTAGAGTCGTTGGATCTTTCTTCACGTTGCGAAAACTCGGCAAATACGGGATATGTAGTTTCGCTGGAAATCAACCCATCCGTGTAGAAGTTTTCCGACAGAATCTCGGGGTGGATCAAGGGCATGACCGCGGTACGGGAACTATTAGCAGGTGTTTTAACGTCATCGGTAGCAAGATCCGAGATGAGTAATGTTGAGCTGAATTGGAGCAGTATGGTGAGAACCCCAGATATAAGTGTCAGGGAGAAGACACATGGACTGAGACAGTATTTCGCTGATCTGAAGAAGAGATACAGTAATTCGAGAGGGCCACTGTTACTATATCGCATGCTGGAAATTCGAGGTATCTTATTCAATGCAACACCAGTCCTCATGGCAATTAATGCTAAGACTGAGGTGTTTAGCATCATGTGATATGTGACAACTGTTCTGATAATCACAGCGCTCATTACCACCGAAGTTGAGACCCAGTTCGACAGAGCGATCCGCGACCAGTATGAACCTGTACCCTTTCCGAACCAAATGAAGGACAGATAGGCGATAACTGCGAATAAAATGATAAAGCCGATTATCATAGTGCTGATGATTCTGAGACCCGAGCTCCACTTAAACTGCGGTCTTCTTGATATAATTTTCCGCTCGCGTGACTTCACAGAACTCAGAGGTGGTAGGTCTTCAAGTAAGATTTCATCGTCTCGTAATCGCTCAATGCTGGACAGTGAAGGGACAGCCTCGTATCGAGATGAGGATTGCGCCATGAATAATAATGCTCATGTATTGAACAAATATCTGTACAAAGATAAGAGAGATAAATCAATAAAAATGGTGTAATAAGAAAGGTAAAAGGCTGAACTCTCAAGGCGAGAGTCTAAACCCCTTTTCACTCAAATCAAGCACCCTAGAAGCGCCGCAACCCAGGAAAGGGTTGTCTCAGGGCAGCCATTTTTCAATTCGGTTCCAATCCACCGTCGGCCCTTCGGCCCTGTTCCTGGACGCCCTTGCCACGTAGCCGTGGCCTAATACGTGGAGTCCTTTGGACCCACCGCAACGCTCATACTACTGTAACGCTCAACTTTTGCTTAAGTTATTACATCATCTATCTAATAGAGAAGTACCGCCAAGCTCATGCAATTGGCTGTTGCGGTTATAATCTTAAAAATGCGGCCCGCGGGAATCATCGTCTCATGTCTGTAAGTACCTAGATTTACAGTGGGTTATTACCAAGTAAGGTAGCTACTGGGACGATCAAGGCAAGAGAAGACAAAGGCACGTATGTCTGAAACCTGGGACTCAGTAGTGTTCAATCATGTGAACAGGTTTCCATCACAGTAAGGTATTTAGATGGTAGTGTGTTATGTCACCGCTAATATGTCCAGATTTTATCCTTTCCCTATATTGTACTCCGTAATGTCAGGGCACAACCTCTTAGGTAGGAGTAAGCGCGCTCCATGCGTGACCTCATCCAGGATCTACATTAGAGATCCTCTACGGCCTTGCCATTGGTGAGAGGGAGATCACGCTGGCTCGTATATAAACATCCTGATCCGCCGCTGTGCTTCCCCTTTATCCATTTCTTACGTCAGCCCGTCAGCCCGTCAGATCCTCTCACTACCTAATTCTCCTGACCTCCTCCCTATCCTCCCACAGGGCCCCTTTCTCGGATTTATTTTTCATTGTACATACTATCAAAAAAACAGTAAATCCGATAGCCACACGAAGGGCCAGATATAACAGGCTTGCTTAATTCCATACCTATCCCCCCGGGGTATTATGTTGCAGATACGATGTTAAAGATGCAAGTAATATGAGAGTGGGACAGAAGACAGAGTGAGAAGTATCACCCTCTTCCTTTCTCCTTCTTCGTGGTCTTTTGCCTCAAGACCTCTTGGTATTCATTGTGGTCGGTGGTCCGGACGTTCTCGAGCGAGGTGACCTCGTCGACGAATAAGATCCTTTCTGTTCCGGCATTGAGTTAGCGTGGCGATGTTTCAAACAGGAGTAAATTTAGGACTTCTTGGAGAGAGAAAAGGTTTCTCCTCACCTTCCACGGTGGCAAATTCCAACTCAAGGGTCTTCACCCTGTCGTTGACGATTGCTTGCTGCCACTTCTCGGTCCGCGGGTACCGAAAAACGGACAGGTCCCAGCTGTTGATCCCATCATCCCCTTTCTGATCGGCGGTTAATACACGCATCGTGAAGCAAGGATTCTTGGATTCAATAACCACCCTCTTGCAGCCGGACCTCTCATTCCGGCATTTGCATGCAGTCGGGTTGATATGAATTTTCGGGTCCACTGGTCTGAGGATTAGTAAATGATGTTTCGACGTTGGAGTGCCCGTGGTATCAAACTTACGGGTCAGGTGGAGGAAGGTATATCTTGCGTTGCATTTGGTGAAGAGGATGAGAGCCGGCAGTTCTGGCTTGACAAATTCCGTGCCCCTGCCTCGAGGACCTTGAACAGGCGTCATGACGCTGGCTCGCGACGTCCCAGTTTTTCCAGACGCGATGGAGAAATGTCTTTGCGTTTCACGACTTCCGCTCCTAGATGTGGATGTAAAGCTCCATGCCTTGGAAAACTTTCGTCCTGTGGTGGGAGTTCCATAACCGGAGGTTCTCGTCGTGCTCGACAGCACAGTCATGCCAGGTCTAATGTTCTGAGCCTCGACGCTCTTTGACTCTGCCAATGAAGATGTTGTCGATGATGGATTTTCATGAAACGCGTCCGCGAAGGGTGTGCTTGGAGTTGGCTCCCAACCTAGGAAATCGACGGAACTTCCATTTTGGCCGTTGGAAGTCGGAATTCGAAGAAGGGAGCTTGAATCTGAACCCTCGGATGAGTTTGGGTCAAGAAGCGCCGGTAAGGGCTTGAACTGCCAGAGCTGCAATATGCCTTGCCCATAATTGCCAGGCTCCTTGGACCCATTGATACACCAGCGAGCCACTGGCATATCATGATGAACTCGATAACCTGTTAATGCTCGTTGCAGCTTCTGGACGTCTTCGGGGCTTTCAAAAGCGAACTCCTTCGCCTTTTTGCCCTTCTCATTTAAGAGGAGCAAGTTGTAGCGTGGCGACAAGCCTTGCGCTGGGCTTGCGTAAGCGGGAACAAGTCGATTTCTGGCCATATTTAATTCAACTTCCTTGTCATACAGAGCTACTAGAGTGTCCGCTTGCCTCATGGAGGTTACGAGCCGGAAGTCAGCGTCACTCTCACGGAAGACTAACAAGGCACACTCCCGGTTGCCGGTGGTTGGCGAAAGGTCTATCTCCAATATCTTCTCCTCGATGGGTCCCGCTTTCCCAGCATCCAAGGGGTCGGGATTGACCTCTTCGCCCTGGCTGATAGCATAAGCGTCACTCGCCAGCACAAGGAGGCTATGAGCAGGAAGTTTACCCAATTCTCCTGTTTCGAAACGGTGTACCTGACCTTTGAGGTCATCTTCTAGTTCTCTCATGTAATCGGCCCAAATAGATTCGGTGCTGGTGGCCTTAAAATGGTTGCTCTCCTTTAGCTTTTCCAGGATCCAGGTTGATTTGGCGAGGTTCAGATATTGTTGCAACTCCGGTATTTTGCCACTTTGAGGCGTCGGATTGAAATGGATAGTTCCTCGGGCGAAGTGGAATGTTAAGGCTCTGAAACCCTCTTCTAGCGGCCACGATGACCCGTCTTTCAACCACACTGGTGGACAAGCCTGAAGCTCGGCCTCCAATTTCGCCTTCAACTCGATCGAAACGATGCATTCCCACAGCGCGGGAGACGACCCAGGGCCATTCATCATCACTCGTTCTAAATTAGCTAGTTGCCTTCTCATTTGTTGAATTTGTGTTCCGTTTCTGATGAACGCTTCGAATTCAGCAGGCTTCGCATAAAAGTCGACCATGGTGATATGGAGCCTTAATTTTGCCATGAGGTTATCGACTGCTCCTTCAGCAGATAACCACCAGCGAAGGTTTGAGGTTGCCGTGGTGCGGCCATTCTGCAGATAACCATGGCGACTCAACAGCGACTCGCACTCTTTTAGAGTTTGGTGAAAATCTCCCGTCAGCTGAGGCCACAACGCGTCCGCCGCATCGGTGTTGTACGGATCGCTATGCCATTCTCGCCGGGGGTATTGCTTCTCGTATTTTCTGAAACCCTCTTGTAGTCGCTGTAGACTACTCCTCAAAGTGTTTATGTGCTGGACGAATTCCCGATATTTGTGATCTAGATTTCAAAAGACGTTGGTTATGTCCTTGATCTGTAAAGAGCATAGACGAAGTAAAGGACCAAGCTATGGCTAATCACGGGCTGAACTCACTTGCACCTTGATCCTCAGTGTAGCATTTGAGGTAGATTTCTCTGGCCAGTTGAATCGCCTTTGTAAGGTCCACGAGCGAAAGGCCAAAGGGAGCGGCCATAACTGTTCGATGGTTGAAGCATAGAGACTGCTATCACACAACCAGCGGGTCCGGGACCTTGAGGATCAGAGTCGAGAGGCCGAAGGGCTGATCTCATGGGCTGATCTCATGGGCTGATTCATGGGCTAAGTACTGGAAGTGGGGGATTGAGTGACTGAGCAGTCAAAAGTCAGCCTTGATGGCGCCCTCGTTCGTTATGTATAGGTGCCAATTGGCCTGTCCTAGCGTTAGTAATGGGGCGGATACTAGTACTAGTAGTAGCCCAAGGGTCTAGACCGGGACTTGGCGTCCTGGGCACGAAACATGGGCTGCAGCGGCACGGTGGTGATTGGTAGGGAATACAGCCAGTACTACGTACACTTGCTGTGGATCAGACACGGCTTTCTGTCGAAAGAAAAGGCGAAGGCTGAATGCACGGAGGAGTGATATGTGGACTCAATATATTCCAAAATCAAGAGACGCGATGAGTCGATGCTAGGAGTCGGTGTCTTACTACGGCTACAGGCCTAATTTTTGCACCCCCCCCCTGGTCAAAATATCTTACAAACGCGTTTTTTACATGCGCATCCCTGTCAGCATCCCTGTCGCTATTTTGCACGAATTTTGTCATTCTGCAAATTCTACGAATTCTACAAATTCTATTAATTCGATATGGATACTAATGAGTCTGATAGACCCTCTACTCCTCCTTATTCCTCTCATTCCTCTCATTCTACTCGAGATCAACGTTTACAAATTCAAACTCTACACGACGCAGGCCATACGTACAACGAAATTCGTCAGCAGTTACCAAATCTCACTCTATACCAAATCAAATATGCTATTCGCAATCGATTAACACCTAAAAAGCACACTGGACGGCATTCAATTATTACTGAAGAAGAACTTGAGCAAATTATTGCGTGGGTTTGTTCTTCTGCAGCTAATCGACGTACACCATGGATCCAGATCCCTCTTGCTATGAAGATCAATATCGGATGGTATGCCATTCGAAATGCTCTACGAAGAGCAGGCTTTTCGCGTCGAGTTGCTCGCCGCAAACCTCCTATTTCCGAAAAGAATCGAAAAGCGCGTTTTCAATAGGCTTCTGAACATGTCAATTGGACGTACGAACAATGGAAAAAGATACTATGGAGTGATGAAACATGGGTTAATGGAGATCAACATACTAAAACGTACGTTACTCGT